TAATGTAGCTAGTTTTAGATCATTTTCTATGGAGTTGTAACGAATTTTTTACTAATCTATGTGCATTTTATAAGTTGGTCGACTATTACTTGTTCACTTCTTAATTCTACTTAGCTGTGATAGTTTTCTTTTTAACTTCATTATACACTTATACTACTATTGTGTATAATTTTCACATTTCCAAAAACAGTGGTTTAGTTGGTAGACAGGAGCGACACATGACTCTAATGAAAAATACCACTTTAAAGCTAAATATTGCGCAAAGGGACCCCCGAATCGAAAAGATGTTGTTCCACACACCCAGTGTTTTGAAAGACCTGTCCAACGATACCCCACACGATGGAATAGACGGGTAAATAAGATCATCCACCATTTACTTGTATGGGGGGTACCCAAATAAAATTGTTTTTTTTTTAGATTTTGTTTCAGTTTTGTAGGCGTGATTATAATATCTATAACTATGTCAAATTACAGATTTGTAGGACCTAGGGTCTCTGAGTAAAACCGCGGACGGACGAACATGGCGAAACTATAAGGGTTCCTTGTTGTGTAACTACACGGAACCCTAAAAATGGTCTTTACACCAAATTTAATAAGTCGCACAGATAATACACAAAGTTAGAGGCACTGTCGGTAAAGATCACTACGTTTAGCGGTCAGCTGTCGCGGAATCGGTCGTGTATTTTTAGCGAAAATACTACTTTGTATCGTCATCGGGCGCGAATGAAACAGAATATGGGCAGCAGCACCTTCCTAACTCAAAATAATAAAAAACTGCGGTTGCAAACCGCTTGCCAAGCGTGGCAATCATGGAAACCCCCCCCCCCTCCCTCCCCCAATAGACCATGTTGAGTGGCGACGCCCTTGCCGTACGGCTAAGCACTATGTTTGTAGCAGCGCGCGTTTGCTGCCTGTACTTGCTAGACGTGAGTGCGGTGCAAGTCGCGCAAGTGATGACTTATGGATCTGTAACGTGGTCCTTCATTGCTGACTGTTTGAGGAAGCTCAAGGTCACTCAGAGACCTCTAGGGAGCGCTGTGCTCGGGGTTTCTCTGCGTGATAGAGATGGGGATATCCGTAGTAGAACCAGAGTAACCGACGTAGTCCAACGGATTAGTAAGCTGAAGTGGCAATGGGCCGGCCATATAGCTCGAAGAACCGGCAACCGATGGGGAAGAAAGGTTCTCGAGTGGCAACCTCATACCGGTAAGCAAAGCACCAGATTGAGTGCCGACCTGGTAAATATGCAGGAAGTCGATGGATACAGGTGGCACAAGATCGTGCTTTGTGGCATTCCTTGGAGGTCCTATGTTCAGCACAGGACTTGTGAAGGGCTATAATGATGATGATGATGACGATACAGGTGACTACTACGCCATTATAAGAAAGAAAGCAGCCTTGTTACTGGGCAGGGTGCGGGCAAATCCATAATTGCTGTAAGATATGACTAAATCCTTCTGAAGATCTAAAGCAATATTACCGCCTCTGTTTACTCAATAAGAAACTTGTTTTTAACAATTAGATATAGGTATAAACATAGGTTGTAAGCTAACTGCTAACACATAATATGGACGTCAGTCTGAGTGAGATTAGAATGGCTCTCCAGCACCTTAAAAACGGCAAGGCCCCAGGCGAGGATGGAATTACAGCGGAGCTTCTGAAAGCGGGTGGAAGACCGGTACTTGAAGTCCTTCCGAAGCTCTTTAATTCCGTCCTCTGTGGTGGCATTACACCGGAGGCGTGGAGCAGAAGTGCGGTGGTCTTGTTTTTCAAGAAAGGTGACAACGCTCTCTTGAAGAACTACAGACTGATTTCCCTTCTGAGCCGCGTCTACGTGCTGTTTTCGAGAGTCATTACGAATCGTCTCGCGCGCAGTCTTGACGACCTCCAGCTTCCCGAATAAGCCGGTTTCCGAAAAGGCTTTAGCACCATAGACCACATACATACCCTTCGGCAAATTGTACAGAAGTCCGAAGAGTACAATTTGCCACTATGTCTGGCGTATGTGGACTTTGAGAAAGCCTTTGATTCCGTCGAAATTTGGGCGGTGCTGCAGTCCATTCAGCGGTGCCAAGTTGACTGTCGGTATATCGAAGTGCTGAAGTGTTTGTACAGTAGAGCTACGATGGCTATCCGAGTACAGAACCAGAGTACGAAACCTATCCAATTGCAGAGAGGTGTAAGACAGGGTGACGTTATATGTATTTTTTATAGGATAAGCGTGACAAACGAGCACACAGTCCATCTGATGGTAAGTGGTTGCTGCGGCCCATAGACATCTACATCTATCCTCTATTACAAATCAAAATGTAGATGCGTTGTCACCCGTGAGGACTAAGATCAAATGCCTCATTTCCAGTAAAAAGGGCCTCCGGCCACCTGCACTCACCAAGCGAAACGCAGAGGTAAACCTCTACTTCACACTGGTTTTCCGTGAGGTCATGGTCGACAGCAAAAGCTGCCGCGTGGCTCTACCACTGTTAAAATATATATCCCCGAAACTCTTCCCCGCTGCATTGGAAGACGTTTTCAAGCTTCTGGACTGGAAAGGATACGGTATTAACATCAATGGCGAGTACATCACTCACCTTCGATTTGCCGACGATATAGTCCTTATGGCAGAATCGTTGGAAGACCTAAGCACCATGCTCAATTGCCTCAATAGTGTCCCCCAACGAATTGGTCTTAGGATGAACATGGATAAAATAAAGATCATGTTTAATGTTCATGTCACACCTATGCCGGTAGTTGTTGGGAGCACTAAGCTCGAAGTTGTTGACGAGTATGTTTACCTGGGACAAATAGTCCGACTAGGTAACTCCAACTTCGACCGAGAGGTCAATCGACGGATTCAACTCGGCTGGGCAGCGTTCGGGAAACTACGACACATCTTCTCGTCAGACATACCTCAAAACCTTAAAACGAAATTGTACAACCAGTGCGTGTTGCCAGTGATGACTTACGGATCTGAGACGTGGTCCTTCACTGCTGGCCGTATGTGGAAGCTCAAGGTCGCTCAGCGAGCTATGGAGAGGGCTATGCTCGAGGTTTCTCTGCGTGATAAACTTAGAAATGAGTATATCCGCAGTAAAACCAGAGTAACCGACATAGCCCAACGGATTAGTAAGCTGAAGTGGCAGTGGGCCGGCCATATAACTCGAAGAACCGACAACCGATGGAGAAGAAAGGTTCTTGAGTGGCAGCCTCGTACCGGTAGGCGAAGTGTAGGACGACCCCCCACGAGATGGAGTAACGACCTGGTAAGACATGCAGGAGGTCGATGGATGCAGGTGGCTCAGGACCGTGCTTTGTGGCATTCCTTGGGGGGGGCCTATGTTCAGCAGTGGACTTATGAAAGGCTGTAATAATGACTATTAATGCGCGTTTAGATGACTTTACAGCGTTCGATTGCTGTATTGAAATCGCGCGTTTTGGCGATTGCTTCGATGTTGAATCACGTTTGGACAATTTGACCACATATGACAAAAGGTCTTGAAATGTTGTGTATCTCTTTCCAAAATGTTCAAAAAAATTATTTCCCCCATCTTTTGGTAATATATGACAAAATGAATGAGGTTCTTCGATTGATACTTTCGCCTTATCAATTATGCGAGAAGCAGCGCAGCTTCATCAAAACCTATCGTAATCTCGTATAGCTTCGTCAAAATCCAGACTTGACCAAGAAGACAAATAACTAAATGTATCTAAAGCGAAAAACGTTTTATAAATTAACATTTTCTCTTAAACGTATATTAGAGGTCGATGTCAAAAAATAACTAAATAATAGTCTCTAAAAGGCCTATATACACAGACATTCAAACTACCAAGTAATTTCATTGAGTTAAGATTGTACACTGCATTAAACAATAACGACAGTCCTTTTTGTTCTTATCGCTATTTTCCTTCCTTCTCTTTCTCCTCTCTCGCCTTTCGTGCCGCACTTGATACTAAAGACCTGCTTTGTTTGCTTTTCTACGTACCTGGACTTTTATTAGTCAGATTTAGGTATAGTCTACATAATATTTAACTTTGTACTTTGGAGCAAATAAAGTTCGCGGCCGCAGTGCTATCACTCATTAATTCGCTAATACCGTACTGCGGTGTGGACCTCTAGCGGTCAGAAAATAATATTATCATCTGATATTAATGTACTTTTAAGACTTAATACCTAACTTTCATGTCATTACATATATTTTTAGCCTCACTTAAAAAAAATGACGCAAATTTAAAAAAAATCAAAGTTGCTCTACCTTTTCATTAAATGAGTACTACATATACTAAGACATTAATAATACAGTCTAGACTAGGCTATTGTGACCCTGATTAAGGGTTAAGGCAGTAGTTGGATGCGAGAGGTCTTGCAGCACCGGTGTTACGTTCTGTGAGTAGGGGATGTCGCGGAAGGAGGCTGCGGAGAAGGAAATGAGCATCTCAGATCCTCATCATAAAAGAAGGCTTCCATATATACCAATACATCAGGAGGATATGTCCCATTTAACTTGGATTCAAACCTACAAAGCCTCAGCATAATGTATATTAATTTAATATAAATTTACCTAAGTATATATTGATCAACTCTTTTAATTGACCACAGCATTTTCCCTACTTCTATTCCAAATGTTCCATTCAGCATTATAGCATATATGACACTAGGTTATAGCTAATATGTACTTATTGAAAGGGCATAATAGGTAAGTAAAGCTTTAATAATGTACCTAAAGGTTTACAGTCATTTGGTTAAGATCATGGAGTTATGTAAGAAGTTTAGATATCATATCATAGCACTAACACATTAATAGAATGTTATTTGCATTTATTTCACAAGTTTAGATAAATAAAACTCAAATTTAATTGAAAGTTTTATTTATTAAATGATGTTTCACATCATACCTATGCACATCTTTGATTATTTAACAATAATTCTTTTGAAGGATGTTGGATACATTGCTATAAATAACTGATTTTATTCCTAAACGTAGATTTTGCTAATCCTATTACATTTATGAAATATTTTTAGCAAGGGTTTCCGCCTTTGCAATGACTTCTTCAATGGGCCCAACCATGTAGAATGCAACTTCAGGCAGGTGGTCATACTCTCCTTGCAGAATTTTAGAGAATCCTTTGATGGTCTCTTCAAGGGGTACTAGTTTGCCAGCATGGCCAGTAAACACTTCGGCTACCTGGAAAGGCTGAGACAGGAATCTTTGAATCTTGCGTGCTCTAGCCACAGTTAGCTTGTCTTCTTCAGACAACTCGTCCATACCCAAGATTGCAATAATATCCTGAAGTGACTTGTAATCTTGCAAAATCTTCTGGACTCCTCGAGCTACATTGTAATGCTCTGCACCAATTATATTAGGATCCATAATACGAGATGTAGAGTCAAGGGGGTCGACAGCTGGGTAAATACCAAGTTCAGCAATAGCTCGAGATAACACAGTTGTTGCATCTAAGTGAGCAAATGTGGTAGCTGGGGCTGGATCAGTTAAGTCATCAGCAGGCACATAGATAGCTTGTACAGAAGTGATAGATCCCTTCTTTGTAGTTGTAATACGTTCCTGCATAGTACCCATATCAGTAGCCAGCGTTGGTTGGTATCCTACAGCAGATGGAATACGACCAAGTAGAGCAGATACCTCAGAACCAGCTTGAGTGAAACGGAAAATGTTGTCAATAAATAGAAGCACATCTTGACCCTCTTGGTCACGGAAGTATTCAGCTACAGTTAATCCAGTCAGAGCAACACGGGCACGAGCACCTGGGGGCTCATTCATCTGTCCATATACAAGAGCTACCTTAGAAGTTTTGTCCTTCAAAGAAATGACACCAGATTCAATCATTTCATGGTACAAGTCATTACCTTCACGTGTACGTTCTCCTACCCCAGCAAAGACAGAGTAACCACCATGTGCCTTAGCAACATTGTTGATCAATTCCATGATCAGTACAGTCTTTCCGACACCAGCGCCACCAAACAATCCGATTTTACCTCCCTTAGCGTAAGGAGCCAGCAGATCTACAACTTTGATGCCAGTAACGAGAATTTCTTGCTCTACAGACATGTCTACGAATTCAGGTGCATCAGCGTGAATAGAAGCACGTTTGTCGGTGGGAATCGGGCCGCGCTCATCAATCGGCTCTCCAATTACGTTCATAATGCGGCCGAGAGTCTCAACTCCCACAGGAATACGAATAGGTGAACCAGAGTCTAGTACCACCTGTCCGCGAACCAACCCCTCGGTACCGTCCATAGCAATAGTACGCACAGTGTTTTCCCCTAAATGTTGGGCCACTTCCAGTACCAGACGAGGAGAGCGGTTTTGTACTTCAAGAGCATTTAGGATGGATGGAAGATTGCCTTCGAATTGAACGTCTACTACGGCACCGATGACCGCGACCACCTTACCTTGACTCGTTCCTGCGACTTGGGCAGCATATTCTCGCTTGTTCACTAGGGCTCCAGCCACCAAAGGTGTTTTTTCAGCCAAGGAATTGTTGACTACCGTCCTTGCAGCCAAAAGGCCAGCTCTTCCGGCGGTAGAAAACATGTTCGTATTCTAAAGTCGATCCAATTTTTCTCTGAAACGAGTTTACGTAAGAGTCAGAGAAAATGTAAGATAAACGTTTTACATGAACTTCCGTCTAAAGTACTCTGTGATCTGTGTTCCGTCTCTAAATATTTGTTGCTATAAAAAAAATTGTCTATGACCCTTTTTCTATTTTTCATTTTCACTCGAGCAAATTTAAAAGTAATGCTTAATATCGATATAATATGTAGTGTGATTGTATAAATTTATATATTATTTATCACGTAAAAGTTAAATTTTACTAGTTTTTAAATTCCTAACCTAACAAGCTATGAGATCAGTACAAGAGTACACGTATATAATAGCATAAGATTGGCGGCTAAATGACTTGTTACTAGTACAGTGTTTATTTTTATCATTTTTAAATAGTACACCTACTTTTGATAGTTATTTTTTATCTCTGACATTCTATTTATGCCTTGGACAATGTATCACCACAACCAAATCCCTCTACACAGCAGAAGAATCGGCACGGGCCGTCCACACGTCTGTCTGTAGACTGTTCAGTCTGTGTTAATTTTCGATAGATGCAACTAAACGCAAGCACGCAACATTTAAAAATGGATATTGAGATAGTAGCTGACGCAGCTATTTTTTATTTAGTACTTTTAACTACTATTTAAGTGTGCATCGCAGTAGAGTTATTAAAAATAAATAGAACTCACCACTCCGATAACACAGATGCGTCGCCCAGACGCCGAGCGCCCTCGCTGAAACCCTTTATTGCTTGCCAAAAAAAATCGAAAACAAACGGATTGATGGCAGACGCATTTGCCGACGTTAAATACCTACCACAAATGAGCAAATTCCCCCGTCTACACGTTGGCGGACGCATCCGCAAATAACATCTACTGACGATTCTGTGGACGTGTAGAGGAGGCTTAAGAAGAACATAGAACATACTGTCAGTCAGTCATCGCGTTTGATGTTGTCGGAAAAGCCGACATAAACAATGAATTGCTAGAGTTGTCAGCATGGGAAATAATAAAAAGATAAACAGATGATTTAATTTTATTACATGTTTAAACAAATAAGTAACTTAGACAATTATTGTTCAGAAATAATAAAAATGGGTTATATAGGACCCACAGTTTATTTTACCGCACATCTAGTGTAGTTTCTGTGATGTTAATGCTGTTAGCCTATGCGGCTCTTACAGCTTCATCAAACTCAGCTATAAAAGGGGGGGGGGGGCGGTAGATTATTTTTTTTTTTATTTTAGTGCGACTTTGCGGACGCAACGTTAAAAAGTCAGCGCTAATTTCTTGCTAAGCAAGCTGCAATTCGCGACTTTTTCTTGTTGGAATCTATCGAACAAATGTGTTTTAATTTTTTTGCACGAAACACTTATTCTATTATTTTTTAATAAAAGTACCCTAAGTTACTCCTTAGCTTATTGGAAAAATAAAATAAAACTTACTGGGATCTTCGTCCAAACAAAACCAATCCACATCGTCACAGTATCTTAAAGTTCGTTTACACTAGGCAAAATAGTCGTGAATAAAAGATCAAGCAGAAGGATAATCAAAATAAACCAGTCGCCACAAAATCACCACTTGCGCACTCAACGACCCAAGGAACGTAAATAATACAAAACCCCAATTATATAGGGGATAATACAAAAGAAAGTGACAACGCTTAATAAACATCATTTTGTCTCTTTCTATCGCACATAGTTACAATGTACTTTTACGCTCTAATCAACCATCGCCACAATAAACAATGCATTTACATAGTAGCTTAGTACTTTTAAATTGAAAGAATTAAATTGATCGTATTAAATTCCAACTAAGTGAGATTTAAAGGCATATCAATATTAGGATAACGCCACAAATTCCCACAAAATTGTACTACCTATTCCGATCACTAGTGATCACAATGAATATAACATGGATGAGTTATCTAACGGCCGTCCAAACAGGGGGTGGCGAGCCCCGGCTCTGACGGCTTACTCGTATCGTTCGATGTTCTAGGCGGTGAGAACCGCCCAGTGACGCAGGTGTATGGTGTGTATTCGGTGTGGAGGGGTGTGCGGCGCGCCCGTCTGTGGACTCGCTGCGTCCCATCCGTCCTAACAGTGTTTGTGGCACTAGGTGATTATGTAGTGTTGGAGTGTGACTGACTGGCGACATTTCGGTTATCGGAATGTAGCGGAACATGGGGTTCGATTAGAACGTTGCGGGGCCTCCAGAGACCGCACATCTAGGGTGAACTATTTTAATTTATTTGCGTGACAGGACAACCCCTAACGGACAGTTAGAGTAGAGCTCCATCTGCGTCTCGCCCCGCACTTCACCGCTTGATTGCCCTGTCTAGACGCCAGTTGTCTTATGCCAGTATATTTTAAGTCTATAAGCTTGTTCCTCCCATAGACTTATTTAAGTTTATGGTTCCTCCTTGTACTATTAAGCTGAGAACAAATTATCGGACGCGTCCGTCAGCCGCGGCTGACAGTCGCGGCTTAGCGGTGTGCACGGTAGTTAAGACGGCGTCTTCGGACGCCTCACTTCAGTCATTCTATAAAGGTGTTTCAATCGAGAAACATGACAAGCAGCGACAGCGAGGACGAATTTATAGAGTTAGCGGCAGCTGCCTTATATTGTCCTCCAAAAAAAAAAAGTGAAAAGGAGTGTTTGGGTCCATGATATTAATGTAAAACGACTCGAGTATGGTGAATTTCATACATTGTATCCAGACTTACAAAAAGATGATAAACGTTACAAAATGTACTTAAGAATGAATGAAAACCAATTTGATTTTCTTCTTAATCTGATTGAAAATGATATCGAAAAACAAATGACACAGTTTCGGAAACCGATATCTGCAAAGGAGCGTCTAGTGGTGACTTTGAGGTTAGGTATATACCCAAATAATACAACGAATGTGCTCATTTTAATTTGCTCATTTATTATATTTATTATTATATATTTGTTATTATAATAACCTTTCAGCTGCGGATGTCTAACATTTGGACACGAAAATATCTCCGTTGACTGCGCGTGTCCAAGTGTTAGTCATTTTTTACCCGCTTTTTTAATGAAGAAACAAAGCATTATGCACTATGTCTAACTCATTGTACCATATGTCGATGTGTATAGGATAAAAATGGATAGCACAAAAATCCCCCAGCTCACACACTTTAGTAGAATTTTTTATCAATATCATGTCTTTATTTCGTCTGTCCCTTGAGTCACCAATCAGTGTGATTGACGCGCGCTAACATGGCAGTTGTTTGCAATTATTTCGTACAGATTTTGATTTATTATAATATAGCCAATTGTATATGTAATATGTAACCTTCCTATTTGTAACCTCATTTTGTGATTTATCTCATTTAGTACGTGTGAAATGGTTTTTTAAATTGTGTGAAAGCAAACCGCTATCTTAGAACTAAATTACAGCTTGCGGAAAGTTGTCTTGAAATGTATGTAAAATTTTAGTATTTACTGTCAGTTTTCTGTTGAAATATGTATAATTGTTCATCATTCACAGTTTAATATATCAAAATGAGGATAAAGTGCAATAATATCAATGTAACTACCCAATAGCTGCAATGCTGTCCATTTCTGAGACGCCCGCAGTAGAGGATTCTAGTTCTCTGTTTTGCCGGTGGCGAAAAAAGGAACTAAATTTTGCCATACTGCATAAAGTTCAAATTCGCATGAATTGTTGGATTGGAAAAGAAACTAGCGCCCTCGAGCAGACAAATGGTTTGACTCCATGATCATTCGATGATTTATCAAAAACTAGATGTGGCATTTGGATGTGCCATGTGTGTTAACACAAGGCTTCGGAATTTTTTAAACAATTTACTAAAAAAGAAAAGTAGAAAGTATTTACATATATTTTTGTTTCAATATTTAAAATATTTATTTATTTTTTATAATTAATATAAACAGTTTGTTATATTTTAGTCACCTCAGAAACATATTTTTAGCGTTTTTTTTTTAATGTACATTTTGTTTGTATATAATTTGCAAAATTCGTAAATCAAAAAGCATTAAAAAATATTAAGGTTTTTTGATAATCAAATATTCAAGAAGTGATTTTGCTGGGCCTTCATATATCTTACTGCTGCTTTTCTGCCTCATATCGATGGATGCTGTCTCGTCTACTTCATATAATTCTACTGAAGATGGCACGGAGAGCTCAATAACAGAATTTTGCGTTGGCTTCAGCAATGATCGAGAGTTTAATTGCGTGGAGGGCATTTGTGTAGTAGATAGCTGGATTATGTTAGAGGACAGAGGCAATGAAAACTGTTGAGTGGGAAGTAATTTATGGGTGCTCCGAGCAGTTGATGAAGGCGGCTGTACAGATGAAGATGAAGCAGATTGTCGAGTGAAAGAAGGTGATGGGAGAGCGGTCTGAGGTGAGGATAAAGACTGCTGTACAGACGAAAGCGAGGCAGAATGTCGAGTGAAAGAAGGTGGTGGGAGAGCGTCCTGAGGTGAGGATAAAGACTGCTGTAGAGAAGAAGGCGAGGCAGATGATCGAGTGAAAGAAAATGATTGGAGGGTGTTCTGAGGTAAGGATGAAGACTGTTCTACGGATGAAGGTGAGGCAGACTGTCGAATAAATAGAGGTGACTGGTGGGTGTTCTGTAGTGAGGGTGAAGACTGCAGGACGTAAGAAGGTGAGGCAGATTTTCTAGTGAAAGGAGGTGATTGGTAAGTGTTCTGGGGAGACGGTAAAAACTGTGAGACATGCACAGGAGAGGAAACTTGTTGAGTGAGAGGAGAAGGTGATCGTTGGGTACTCTGAGGTGAGAACGAAGGTTGACGTAAGTACGAAGGCGAGGTAGATTGTTCTCTTAAGTAAGGAGAAGACTTGCGGCGCATGAACGGTTGAGGTGATGGTGCAGATATCTCTGACATGCTACATCAGATGAAGAAGCAGAATATTCTGTCAGAGAATCGAGCCACCTCATTTGTTTTTCATGGACCAGTTTCATGATGTCAAATTTTAATTTAACTTGTTTTATTTTAGGTAACTTCTTGACTGTTTTAGCCATTGATTCAAAGAATAAGTCAATGTCATCTTTTTCTGATTTACTCTGACTTCTTGCTTTCATCACATTTAATATCTGTTCCTGATAATTATTGCTATTTTTCCGTTTCCTCTGCTGTGTGTTATCTTCGTTCGATTCTTCATTTATTGTATTTGAATTTTGGTTTTCTTCGCTCTCACCGAAATTAGATACAGTGTTCCTATGTGTCATAAAAGGTAATAAAAATGACATCTCCTCTTCAAATTTCCACTTCTTCAAGTTTTTTACGCCTTGCCCTGTCATTGTTTTTCGCCTGCTTACAGCATGTACGAATGCATTTCGTAACAAGTTCCATTTTGCCTTGCATATCGAAGCTAAAATAAAAAAAGACGAATTATTATCTTAATTAAAAGGTTTATCCGTACTTATATTATAAATGTAAAAGTAACTCTGTATGTGTACCTTTTTGCGCTTAAACATAACGGTACTATTTTTATTTTCAGGTTTTTAGCCACAGGAGAATCATTTAGATCGCTAGGATTTAGATACAGGATAGGATTCAGCACAATAAAAGCTATCGTTCTGGATGTAACTATTGTCATTTGGAAAAATCTAAAAGATATTTTTATGCCAAAACCGACTAAAGAAAAGTGGAAACAAATTGCGAAAACGTACAGTGACAAATGGCAGTTTCCTAATTGTGTGGGAAGCTTGGATGGGAAGCATGTTATGCTGTTTTGCCCAAATAATGCGGGAACGTCATTCTATAATTACAAAGGCCGACATTTTGTCGTTCTTTTAGCATTAGTTGACGCTAACTACAAATTCATTGCAGTTGATGTTGGGGCCTTCGGACGTAACAGTGACGGTGGTGTATTTGCTGAGTCAAAACTGGGAACTTCATTGGCGACTAACACTGCAGATATACCAGCAGATACACCATTGGAAAATGGTGGTGAGCCCATGCCACATGTCATTATAGGAGACCAAGCGTTTCCATTAAAACCATATTTAATGAGACTATACAGTAAAGAAGCTGTTTCTAATAACGCAAATAAAAAGAATTTCAATTATAGATTATCACGTGCAAGGAGGACAGTCGAAAACGCATTTGGCATTTTGTCAGCAAGATGGCGGATATTTCATACAGATATTGAAGTACAACCAGAAATTGTCGATAACATCATTTTATGCTGTTGTTGCTTACACAACATGCTACGGAACGACGAAGATGACAACACTGGTGTACCAGATAACTTTATAGCATTTGAAGGTATTCGTAATAATTCTACCCGAGCAGCATGTGTTATTCGAGACAAGTTTTGTGATTACTTTAGTTCCGAAAATGGAAGTTTGCCTTGGGAAAATCAATAAATAAATATAAAATATAGTTAATACAATTTTATTATTTTTGTGCCTGATCTGCCTGATTGCAATAATAATTACCTAGTACCTAAACAGTTCCATCTGCACCTAGATAAAGTTAGGTATAGTATATATAAATCTAGTTATATTATATAGTAAGAATAGTTGGTAAGTGTAGCGACACACTTGTGTTCGACATCGACTTTTGTATGGAAGAACAAAATTTATTTTTCCTTGTTCAACCTATGTTTTTATTTTAAATATACACTTTTTATTAGTTCATCTAATTGATGACAACTTTTTACGGTAGAAGAACTGAGTTGCGAGACTTAGTCTTTTTACAAGTTATGTTTTTAATGACTTTCTTTAACATAAGCAATCGTGTATAGTCGGTTTTTATGGCACTAATACCCACAATTGTGTCTAGCGGTGGCGGCGTAACTCGTCTTGAACGCGAGCGAATACCTACTAGGCTAGCAAGACCATCAAGACCTAATAAGTAATAATATTATCGACAGATAAGATGACGTGAGCGAGCATGTGCGCTGGCCGACGCCGTGACTAACGACGCGGGTTTCACCTTCACGAATTTAACAGTGGTAGAGCCACGCGGCAGCTTTTGCTGTCGCACGGATGGGCCGGCTCGAACCGGGGTGGTATCACGACCTCACAGAATACCAGCGTAGAGGTTTACCTCTGCGTTTCGCTTGGTGAGTGCAGGTGGCCGGAGGCCCTTTTTCCTTGAAATGAGGCATTCCATCTTAGTCCTCACGGGTGACAACGCATCTGCATTTGGATTTGTAATAGAGGATAGATGTAGATGTCTATGGGCCGCAGTAACCACTTACCATCAGGTGGACTGTGTGCTCGTTTGTCACCCTTATCCTATAAAAAAAGAGCTTAGCGCTCACCACTTTTTGATTGAAATGATTACTCTGCTACAAGCTCTGTAGCCGAAAATATAAATGTATCTATGGCTGTTGTGAAATAAAAACATAACCTAGAACCTAGATTATTATTTATTACATATTCATGAAATTAAGAAAAGAACAAGTTTCAAAGTTCATTTTACATCAATAGGTATTAATTTAAAAGGGAATGTTTCAAATCATTTTCAAATTAAATAGTTTGTTTTGTTTAACTTTTCTACTTTTCTTTCTTTCTTTACTAGCCAGTGAATATTTAGTTTATGGTGATTTATTAGAGTTGTTTCACTTAATGAAGATGTTTGACGAATAATAATGGGTTACTGAAAACGGTGTGTTCTAATGGCACCTCTTCACGTTGGGCAACACAGTGGCGAATGTGTTGGCAGAGTTATTGGCCAAGAAATTGTGATCGCGTCCACACGTTGGAAGGTCGTTCAGTTTGCTTCGGTTCAGGCCAATGTGCGGACGAATTTATTAAAATGATTATTAATGCGCTAACGGCTGCTGCACTTTATTTATTCACAGCATACCATTATTTTTTTATTTAATTTTCACTATTTTTTATATCTAATATTTTTAATATTTCTTTATTATACACTAACGTTATACATATAAGTGAACTATATAAACATTAACACACCTAGGCATAGGTATAATTAACACTTACAACTAAGGCCTGGAAAATATTCGAAGCCTGTCTATGAAATTGTTGTCAAATTTTATTAAACAAAACCTTTTTAAAAAGGGTTATTCTTATTATATAATTATAGAATAAAACTTAATAATAATAATAAATAATTTATTTCGTCAAACATTAAAGTTACATTATATGATCAGTGATCGAGGTCACCTAGTAAGCAAAATAATGCCTCTAATAGGTGACTTCGCTCTTCCATAGCTAAAAATTACAGTATTATTAACGAAATAAAGTAACTAATAGGGAATAATAAAGACAGTAAAAACATGATTTTAGTATCGTACTTTTTAATTTGATTTTAATATATATTATATATTATAGATTTTAAGATATTTAATAAATCATACATCAATAAATAAATTAATACACAATTATTTTATTAAAACATTTAAGTACACGTAATTTAAATTAAATGTGTAACAATCGCGAAAATATAAGGAAAATCATAAATAGCTCTTACCTGTGGTGTTTAATTCAGCAGCAATTTGCTCCCACACTTCTTGTTTTAAAGTTGCATTTTTATAGTGCTGCAGTTTGTAGTTATAAAGGCATTCATGGCCACGAACACATTCAATCAAATTTTCTTCGTCTGACATGTCGCGAGCGCGGTCGGTTCGTTTGTGACACTCGAAACGTCCGCGGACGCGTCCCGTGCCCTGTGCACACCGTCCGAGGACGCACAAATATCCAGCCGGCTAGATTCTGTTCGGACGTCCGAACGCTCAAGGATGACCCAAGGGTACGTCCGCGTCTTACGACCGATAGTTTGCACAGTGTAGTATTAAATGTACTGGCTAGATTCAAATAAGCCGCGTCTTTCAGCCGCGGCTGACGGACGCGTCCGATAATTTGTTCTCAGCTTTATCTGTTACTGTACCTTTGACTATTATTCCATAGACACTATGCTTATGACCACAAACTAGTAAGAAGTGCTAGCGCACTTATGACCAATTATGACCATTCATCACCATTCATAAACCTAATGAATGACATTCAGTGTGACGATATGTGGCAGGTTCCTGCCATTTTGGCAGGATTTGCCTCTTATTTTAGCCGCTGGCATGATAGGTTGACGTTTTATAAAACCTGGCAGTATTTGGCAGTATTGGGGTATTAAAAATAGATTTCATTATGGCAACTTAAAATGCCGAAAATGGCAACCCTAAATACTTCGCCAGCATGTTGAAATTTGTATTTCTGTATTATGTTTGTATCACATTCAATAAACATCATTTTCAAACTTTAAAAGTTTTTTTGTAAAGTTGATAATCTTTTTTTTTATAGGATAAGGATAACAAACGAGCACACAGCCCACCTGATGGTAAGTGGTTGCTGTAGCCCATAGACATCCACATCTATCCTCGATCACGAATCAAAATGCAGATGCGTTGCCACACGTGAGGACTAAGACGGAATGCCTCGTTTCCAGTAAAAAGGGTCTCCGGTTCTCTACACTCACCCATAGGAAACACAGCAGCGTTAAGCTGCTATTCTACGCTGGTATTCTGTGAGAGCGTGGTCCTTCCCCGGTTGAGCCGACCCATTCGTGCTACAACTATACCAGTAATATAGCTGCAGCGTGGCTCTACCACGTACAAAAGTAATCTAAAAACGAGTATTCATAAACACGAGTTTATGGTTAATATCTCAATCAGTCATAGAAGAGAAGTGCTTTAGTTTGGTATCGCATTAGATTTCATGGTGATAATATCTTGTTAATAATATGTCGTGGACGATAGTAATTATAGGTGGTGGTAATGAAGTGAAAATATGAAAGGGCGTATAGAACAGAGTGGGAGCAAGATTCTTCACTTTCGTCGTGGATCTCCAAAGCTAAAGGTGATCCAGACTGCAAATTTGCACCCCGGCCGTCCGCTTTAAAGGAGCATGCCACTACTGGTAAACATGAAAAAAATATGAGTGGATTCAGCATGCGAAAGAATATTCTCAAATAAATTTATTTAAGACAAAAACACGAAACCGATTATAAACAAACATGTGGCGTCTATCTTGCACGTTAAACAAGGCATTGGTGGGCATGGCGATTGCATTGCATTAAAACTAACGAAAGATATGTTTAATTTTATTTTAGTAAAAATATAACATTTAAATGTGTATTTTTACTTTGCTTAGTTTAATACAATGGTAAATAAAGTAGGCAGTTTTTAGGCATTTTTCACCACAGACTGGCAGGATTTGGCAGGTTTTTCACATAGACATAGTATCTTATAGACTAAACATTCAGTGACGTCATCAGCGTGTGAAAGGAATGCACGTATATAGTTAGACATAAGAGTAAGGGAGAAGCAAATCTATATTTCTTGTCTTTTTCTAGGTATGCGTTTTTGATTGTTTTCCCTCCTTTATTTGACATTAACGATGTCAAGCTCTTTTGAATAATATTGATATTATAAGCAAACAGGTAATTGAATTTAGTGCTTTTTGTGGATCTTAGTTATTAGGTAAGGTGAAAAAGATGGTAAGTTGTAGCATTTGAGGATGCAACAGCATCAGTCAACGAAAAATTGATAATATTACCTTTCATCGGTAAGTTTGTTTTGTGCTTACATTTGCTACTTGTACTGATCAATATCTATTGTTTTGAATATAAAGTGTAACATTTCATATTTTTAATGGACTTTGTGGTGTATTTTGTCAAATATTTGGACTCCCAGATTGTAAATTTTTCATGATAATGCTCCTTAATTTGAACGGTCATTCGAAAGCTTAAAGTCATAACAAACGTGTACTTTTTGATTTGGTAGGATTATAGAAACTTTAGGGATATCAGCGAGTACAATAATTTTTTCGCATTGTTCAATAATAATTGTTATTGTGATTAGTAGTTATGTCCATAAATATGAATCACGGGACGGTTCAATGGGACATTTAGTCCACCCTTAATCCCTTTTATAAAGCTGTTATAAACATTAATGTGTAAATAAATTAAGAAATAAATGTAATAATTATGATAATTTTTATTCAATTTTCATAAATAATGTAATAAAGATGTTTTTGACAAGAGATAAGTATTACCTATCTAAGTATAGTTTAGGAGTTGTACCTTATTATTTATACCATTAAAATGTATTATATACAAGGCAAATTATATATATACTCCCTTCTAATCCGATTCTAACGACCAGCACCCAAGAATTTCTGCCATGCAAAAGTATAAATCAAGTTTACAAATGCATATTTTTGAGGAATTCTAGTGCTACTCAAACCAAGAATTACAACGAATGCTCTAGAAAGGAGACAAAAATTTTGTAAAATATTTTGTTTATTAATGTGATAAAAGATTAATAATAATCGTTTGTTTATTTTAATTTTATTGAATTATATTTAATATGTAATTGTGTTTTCATTTGTTTTACTTAATGTAACATTGTTAATATTTCTAAATGTTGTATAAGTACACAAAATTTAGTTCTTTTGCCTTTTTAAATTTCAATATATTTTCATTTAAATAGAATATATATCTTTACAGTCTATCAAAAGTCCACTGTTGAACATAAACATGATTATAGTTATTTGGCATAGTTTCAACGCTTGGAAAGCGGGTTGTCAACCATTATTATATATATATATATTATATAATGCTGCTGTTTATCTTCTTTGATGTTTCCCTATGTCGCCTCATACACCACCCATGGAATGATATGAGGTAGCAGATAATCTTACACTGCATGGTAAATTAAAATAGAATATTATAAAACATTCGTTTTTATTTTATATACCCCAACATATTACAAAAAAAAATCCTTTATTGATGCTTTACAACGTATATTAACTAAAATATTTTACCACCTTAACCATTAGGTAACATGATTAAGCTACCTAACCATAAGTAAGTCACCTAAAAAAGGCCTTAAATAGATATCCTCATAGGATGACTTGCCATAGTTGCCACGCCTGCGTGAAAATATGCGTTATGCTGGTTGGCCACCGCAGTTTTTTATTATTTTAAGTTTTCATCGGGAAAGTGCTGCTGCCCCATCCCCATCTTGTATTATTTGCTTACGACGCGGGGTAATATCATCCCGTGTACAGACAAATTCTCTTGTACGCCACAACTTGCCGCACACAAGACACTAACTTAGCAAAACATGCAGGAAATCTCGGGAGTAGGCTCATAACCGTGTTTTGTACTAAAAAACCTAAGTGGAAACCCTTTCTTTTCGAAGGTCTGTGTTCAGCACTGAACTTGTGATGGAATGGTATGTTAAAACATTATTGTTTTTTTTTAAAACAACAAAACTCGACTCAAGGAAATTTTTGTTTATTATTTAATATTTTTATTCTCAATTAATATTTAAGTACATACATAACATATTGTTATTTATTAGCGATATCACACTTTGTGCTATTAGCGCCTTCACTTAGTGCCGTCGAAATCCAAAGAGTTTATTGAATGTCCAGTAAAATCGTCGATGCGCCGTTGAATACAGAATGATGATTCTGTTTTTACGCCGTTTCCGCCTGTAGTTTTTGTCACAGAATGTATTTTCAAGAGAAATCAATTAATCATCTGAATTATAAAAGAACATTTTTTTATGGTAACAATTAAGTTTTTTGTATGAATGTAAGTGCTGTGAATATAAATAAACCCCTAACGGGGGAAATGGAACAATATCTGGTAACCCAGTGAAAGTACCTCCTGCCTATTTCTATCTCAAAAGCATACGCGAATGCTTTATCTATAGTCGTATTTTTAATTAGACGAAGCCAACTGACAGTAGCTAATGTCACTTTGTAAAATAATGTTGCCATATTTAAAGTAATAGTGATGCGTTCAGTTCTCGTTCAATCAGATGAATGAACAATGAGTGTGTATAGTTAATCATTTCAAACTATAAAAGAATATTATTTCTATTTTACAATAAAATTGTATAAAAGTGCTCTGATATAAGTTACTAGTAGTATGTAACTACAATCAGTTTTTTGAGGTTTTATTACAAAGCGCGGCGCGGCGACTACTGCCAACACCGATCAACGCCGCGCGCGTCGGTCGCCATTTTGTTTGTTATTCGGCTTCTAACCTCTGGTCTGATAGCACGAATGTTTTTTCTGCGCTCACGCTGTTTAGTTATTGTTTTTGTTAAGTTTTTCGTTACGTTGTGTTTGTGGTAATTGTTGTGTTTATTTGTTGCTATATTGTTTCGTACAAATGATATGGATCCTCAACCAAGCACGTCAAGCCAAAGCTTGTCTCCAAGAAAGAAGAGACCACGGATTGCTTTAAGCGTTACCGAAAAACTTATGATACAAAACGTCTACAAACACGTATTTGAGGAAAAAGCTGCTTCACTATTACCTATTGAGGCCCCCGAAAAAAAAGAATGTGTTTCGAAAACAGCTGACATTTTGGGAATTGGTGTGACCTCAGTTTACAGTGTGTTAAAAGAATGCAAAGAAAATGAACAATTTAAGTCTCCCGAGAAACGTGGACCGAAACACAGTTTCAAAGATAAATTAGACGATTTTACTTTTGCCGCTATAAGGCGAAAAGTACATAATTTTTTTTATGCAAATGAGTCACCCACCATTATAAAGGTAACTTAAACTTTATTCCTTCTACTGCATTATATTCTGTGTCCACCATAATGTTCTTTGTAAAACCAAAGTATTAGATTGCGTAGACTTCCTTACTCAAAACATATTTTTATTACTTTACAGATTCTTAAGGTTGTCAATGAAGACCCAGACTTACCCAATTTTTCTTGGAGTACATTAAGAAATGTTATGAAACATTTAAATTTCAAATATGTCACAAAATCAAGACACAGCATTTTAATTGACAGACAGGACATTATTCTATGGCGCCAGCGATACCTTCGAAAAATTAAAGAGTATCGAAGGGAAGGAAGGTATATTTATTACCAAGATGAAACCTGGATCAACGAAGGTAATTACAATTTTCTGTTTTCTTTACATTAAATTGTACTTTCAATAATTAATTGATATTTTTCACTATCTTGAAGGTCATGCACCGAAGAAGGCATGGATTGACCAGACAGTGTTATCGTCCCGCCAGGCTTTCCTAGATGGCTTGACCACTGGCTTAAAACAGCCTTCAGGAAAGGGCAAACGATTAATTATCGGCCATATAGGCGGGGAAGAAGGATTCGTAGAAGACAGCTTATTAATATTTGAAGCCAAAAAAAATAAAGAAGATTATCATCAAGAGATGAATGCCGATTCCTTTGAGAAGTGGTTTAGGGGGTCTTGCCAAAACTAAAACCAAATTCCGTAGTAGTGATGGATAATGCCCCCTACCACTCCAGGAAACTAGAATCGCTGCCTAAAATGTCTTGGACTAAACCTAGAATACTAGAGTGGCTAACGAGCAAAAATATTTCATTCGAAGCAACAATGGTTAAAGCTACTCTTATAGACATTGTACGGCAGCACAAGCAAGAACATTGCGATAAGTATGTTGTGGACGAGATGGCAGCGCAGCATGGGATAATTGTTTTACGTCTGCCCCCATACCACTGTGAGCTCAATCCCATTGAGTTGGTATGGGCGCAGGCTAAAGGATATGTTGCAAGAAATAACAAAACCTTCAAAATGACAGAAGTAAAAAAACTTTTTGAAGAAGGACTTCAACATATCACACCTGAAAAATGGAATAGCTGCGTGTCTCATATAATTAAAAAAGAAGACAAAATGTATGGTCTCGACCACATGATTGACAATGTTACTGACAGATTTTTAATTAATGTCACCGAAAGCGATAGTGATGATTTTTTATCTGATAATGAATAAAAACAAATTATGTAATAAGCGATTTTTTTTATTCTCATTACCTACCTATAATTGTTATATTTTATACATCTATAGTTTCAACTACATGATGTATTGAAAATAGGACAGTCTTACAAGTTTCCTCGCAATATTTTCCTTAATGTTTAAAACACTCGGTATTCAGTATAGGTAGATATTATAGGAACATAGTCGTCGAAAACTCGTTGGTATGTACAAAGCACGACTAAAATTCGCGAACCCCGTACCCGATATCGGCAGTTCAGCACACTAACTATTCACTAGACAATCGAGGCAATTTCATTAATTCAGGAGTTTTTCAATCATTCACTTTGTCACAACACTATTTTTATTTCATCAAAAACTGACAACACAGTAAACGTCAGTTGACTTCGTCTAATTAAAAATACGACTATAGTCAATCCTCTATCTACGGTTTTTCACAAAAGTAAGGCAGGATCTGTATTTTAAAGATGGTCACACTGATGACATTTGACATTGACATTTTACAAAATGAAAAGGACAATGACAAGCTATTAGAAGAATGAAGATAATTTACGATAAAAATGAAGTTATAATGGATGGCAGCCGTACCTAATTAATTGCATTTAATATTTACGCATGTTTATGATTAAAAAATGTATGGAATCCGATTTTTTCCAAAAGTATGTATTTAAAACCCAGTTTATGCAACTAATAATATTACCTAATACAAACTTTCATTAACTAATCCGTTCATTATTACAGATTTTGTGCTATCAACGATCTTTTACTTTCTTTAATTATGCAAGACACCTACATAATGTAAGCGACAGGATTTTAAATAAAAGAACATATAGCTCAGTAGCAGTAGAGGATAGTTATGTAAAAAAATTCATGAATGCTGTGGGTTGGATGGATCAGTCTAGGACGGTAATATAATTTTATAGAATTACTCATTTTATGAGTACTTATAATTAGTTTTATTAAGATATCTTATATTAAAAGTAAGTTAACTATTTTAAATATTGTTATCATCCACAAAAAACTTGAAATCATTGAGTTATATGTACTACATACTAGAGAAGCCATTCCGAACATTGACTATATTCAATTGAACTGTAGTGCAATCCATACAAACTAAATATTGCGTAATTTGAATATTTGTGAATTCCATAAAATAATTATTATTACATTTTATTTAGAAATATGTTTGTTTAGATTAAATTAAGATATTTTATATTAAATTCTTATATTTATTTTATATTAATATCTTATATTAAATTAAAGTTTTCACGCATGCGCGACTACTACTCCCGCGCATGCGTGATGACATAGAGTAGGACACAATTTTTGTTTGGAATGGCTTCTCTAGTATGTAGTACATATAACTCAATGCTTGAAATACTTTTTTTAAAGAAGCACCTCATTGCATCTATAATGAGAGAGTTTCTTAAATTGAGTTATTTTAACAATTAATACCAACCAATTAATGAGAGGGCTGTGCCCAGCATTAAGATGTATATAAGCTGTGACTTTTATCTGTACTCCTTTATTGGTAGCTGCATTTTGTTTGATGGCCTGCTGCAATCCTTACTTCTAGTTGGCTGTTGGTTCTTTTGTCACTAACATTAACATTATAAATAAAATGTATTGTCACTGATGTATCTGATGTGTATTTTCACAAATAAGGTAGAATTTTTCAAACCTGATAATTGCATGCCTTAAGTGCAAAGCATGTAGGTATGTTCTACTAGTGCTTAAAAATCAAGATTCCAACGTTTTGTTGCATGAAATCGTATCTAATAATCATATTTAACATATAAATGATATAAAAAGCACATTGTCAGAAAGATAAATGATTGTTTAACATATTATTTTTTATTAAATCGATTAATTCAAAGACATTTAAGTATTAGTAATAGAAGGGATATCAGCAACAAAATTGTCACCTCTTACTTATGTCCTATAGGATATATTTCGGATTTGTGTCATTTAGTCTTAGTGACATCGTCAAAAGCTTAAGACGCATTTGTTTCCTAAGTTTAAAAAGTATTTTTTATAGAAAATATGCCAGATTGTGCATTAAGGTATTGTAAGTCCTGATATGGAGCAAACACTGAATGTGATTTCGGTTTATTATCACAAGAATAATGTATATTTACCTAATAATTTTTAAATTTTATTATTTCTGGTAGATTGTTCTAGAACATTTATCATTATTGTAATAAGCGCCCTCTGTTATCCAGTAACGTCATGATTTATTTACCAAAGAGTTAGTGATTGACAATGTTTATCGGTTATTGTTATCGTTAAAAAATATTATACCAGATGGCAATTTAATCATCTACAATATTTAAGGAGGTGAAACAGTAAACAATACTGTACCGGTACCAATAAAGAAATCGGCTGGGCCTGTATCGGGGCACACGGTCATTGGTTTTAATATGAAACATCTATGTCAGCCAGTACAACCAGTCAACAAGATAGCCTTTTTTTAAATTTCAATATAATTCTACAACACCAGGAGTATTGCAGATGCGTTGCCGGCCTTTTAAAAAGGAGTAAGCTCGTTTTTTGAAGCTCGCCTAAGTCATTTTGTCCATAAAATTGCCGTTGGTAAATGATTCCTAAGAAAACTCCTAATAAATTGCATTGTAGTATACCCCCAAGCATTCAAATGATGTCGATGGTAATGTAGGTTTTGTCATGATGTGTTTTGGTGAAATTTGGTGGCTGGAATTAATCAGAACAATTCCTCAAAGCACTCCCCGTATTAAATACGATAGAAAATCGAGCCAATCAAAGAGAACTCGGTCGTAGACAATTCGAGCTGCTCTGCTTTGCAGTCAAGTGGAAGGAGCTCGCACTGGGGAGCCCTGGCCCAGAGATGAAAAAAGTATCCCATGTGAGGCTGAACCTGCGCTTGTAAAGTTGCAAACGGTCGCTTTTTTGTTTACGGTAGTGTCCCGCTCTACTGAGTACGCCAAGTTTTTTAAAAGCCAATTTAGCTTTCTCTTCCAAGTGACCATACTACTGCAGGTCATTCGATATGTCGACGCCGAAGATTCCGCTATTGGTTACGGCAACAAGGGAAGTGCTCTGAAATTGAGGAGATACGACAAAGGTGTTCTTTTTATCGGTAAACGCGCAAACTTGTAAATTTGTATAATAGTTTATCATGTAACGACTTGCCGTGTAGTGGCGGTCAAGAATATCCACTACCCCATATCCTCTCGTGGGTGTCGTAAAAGGCGACAAAGGGAAACAGGCAGGAGATGGGCAGCAGCATCTTCCTGATAATAGCTAAAATTACAATAAAAAAACTGCGGTTGCCAACCCGCTCGCCAAGCGTGGCAACTATGGCAAATGACTAAAGCAACAAACAGACGGCCCCCAGTCTCCGGCGGCCGCGCTATTCCTGGCTACGGTGGCGACCATGGTAACGGCGGGGCAGGGGGTGCTAAGAATCTCCGGTGGAGGTTCGGTTTGGCAACCGAACCTCCACCGGAGAGGTGGCCCTTAGACGACTCGACCTGGCAACGTACAACGCACGCACCCTGAGGACTGACGAGAAGATCGTGGAGCTGGAAGAAGAGATAGACAAGTTGCGCTGGCATATTATAGGATTATCCGAAGTCCGAAGAGAGGGGGAGGACACGGTAATCCTCGAATCCGGCAACTTGCTCTATCACCGGGAGGGCGACCATCTGTCCCAAGGAGGTGTCGGATTTATCGTCCACAAGTCTCTCGTTAACAACGTTGTAAAGATCGGGAGTGTGTCGACGAGGGTTGCGTACCTTATACTCAGAATCATCAAACGGTATTCGCTGAAGGTCATACAGGTTTACGCACCAACCTCGGCACACCCCGATGAGGAGGTGGAGGAAATGTATGAGGATATCTCTAGAGCCATGCATTCCTCTAAAACCCAATATACGGTGTTAATGGGAGACTTCAATGCAAAACTAGGCACAAGAGGGAACGGTGAGCTGAAAGTAGGGAAATTTGGAATAGGGCAACGGAACCCAAGGGGCCAGCAGCTGGCCGACTTCATGTAGAAAGAGGGACTCTTTATGATGAACTCTTTCTTCCAGAAGCGGCCCCACAGGAAGTGGACCTTGTCGAGCCCCGACGGTTCGACAAAAAATGAGATTGACTTCATTATGACGACCAGACGACAACTGTTCAGTGATGTCTCCGTGATCGCGAGGGTGAAAACTGGTAGCGATCACCGAATGGTTAGAGGCACACTGAACCTAAACGTTAAGTTGGAGAGGTCTCGTCTAATGAAGTCAACGCTCCGTCCCCCTCGTGCTCTATTCCAAAGTCCCGAAACCTTTCAGCTCGAGTTACAAAACCGTTTTCAGTGCCTAGAAGACTGCAATGAAGTGGACGATATGAATGACAAGCTCGTGGAAACTGTCCATGCGGTCGGAGCTAAGTTCTGCAAGACCCGCCGCACAAGAACACAAAAACTCTCCGATCACACTCTTAATCTCATGGCTGTTAGACGGGAGATGAAGCTACATTCTTCAATAGACTTGACAGCATACAGGCATCTGAACAGACAGATCTCCAAATGCATGCGGCGGGACTTACGCAACTTCAATACAGCTCGTATTGAAGAAGCGATCGAGCGGAACCAAGGCTCCAAAGTCTTTGCCAGAGATCTGTCTGCCAGGAAGAGCCAACTGTCAAAGCTGAAGACGGAATGTGGCAGCATGGTTTCCGGGACACCTGAGATTTTGAGTGAGATTGAGAGGTTCTATGGGCAGCTATACACGTCATCGTTGGAGCCACACGCAAGTGTGAGTAACGATCCAAGAGCGAGTCTCATCCGACACTATTCCGAAGATATCCCGGACCTCAGTCTGAGCGAGATTAGAATGGCTCCCCAGCACCTTAAAAACGGTAAGGCCCCAGGCGAGGATGGAATTACAGCGGAGCTTCTGAAAGCGGGTGGAAGACCGGTACTTGAAGTCCTTCAGAAGCTCTTTAATTCCGTCCTCCATGGTGGCATTACACCGGAGGCGTGGAGCAGAAATGCGGTGGTCTTGTTCTTCAAGAAAGGTGACAACGCTCTCTTGAAGAACTACAGATCGATTTCCCTTCTGAGCCGCGTCTACGTGCTGTTTTCGAGAGTCATTACGAATCGTCTCGCGCGCAGACTTGACGACTTCCAGCCTCCCGAACAAGCCGGTTTCCGAAAGGGCTTTAGCACCATAGACCACATACATACCCTTCGGCAAGTTGTACAGAAGTCCGAAGAGTAAAATTTGCCACTATGTCTGGCGTATGTGGACTATGAGAAAGCCTTTGATTCCGTCGAAATTTGGGCGGTGCTGCAGTCCCTTCAGCGATACCAAGTTGACTGTCGGTATATCGAAGTGTTGAAGTGCTTGCACAGTAGGGCTACGATGGCTATCCGAGTACAGAACCAGAGTACGAAACCTATCCAATTGCAGAGAGGTGTAAGACAGGGTGACGTCATATCCCCGAAACTCTTTACCGCTGCATTGGAAGACGTTTTCAAGCTTCTGGACTGGAAAGGATACGGTATCAACATCAATGGCGAGTACATCACTCACCTTCGATTTGCCGACGATATAGTCCTTATGGCAGAATCGCTGGAGGGCCTAAGCACTATGCTCAATGACCTCAATAGTGTTTCCCAACGGATAGGTCTTAAGATGAACATGGACAAAACAAAGATCATGTTTAATGTCCATGTCACACCTATGCCGGTAGTTGTTGGGAGCACTAAGCTCGAAGTTGTTGACGAGTATGTTTACCTGGGACAAATAGTCCGACTAGGTAAGTCCAACTTCGACCGAGAGGTCAATCGACGGATTCAACTCGGCTGGGCAGCGTTCGGGAAGCTACGACACATCTTCTCGTCAGACATACCTCAAAACCTTAATACGAAATTGTACAACCAGTGCGTGTTGCCAGTGATGACTTACGGAACTGAGACGTGGTCCTTCACTGCTCGCCGTATGAGGAAGCTCAAGGTCGCTCAGCGAGCTATGGAGAGGGCTATGCTCGGAGTTTCTCTGCGTGATAAACTTAGGAATGAGGATATCCGCAGTAGAACCAGAATAACCGACATAGCCCAACGGATTAGTAAGCTGAAGTGGCAGTGGGCCGGCCATATAGCTCGAAGAACCGACAACCGATGGGGAAGAAAGGTTCTCGAGTGGCAGCCTCGTACCGGTAGGCGAAGTGTAGGGCGTCCCCCCACGAGATGGAGTGACGACCTGGTAAGACATGCAGGAAGTCGATGGATGCAGGTGGCTCAGGACCGTGCTTTGTGGCATTCTTTGGGGGAGGCCTATGTTCAGCAGTGGACTTGTGAAGGGCTGTAATGATGATGATGATGATGTTGTAACGACTTATAAGTTTAGTGCTTTTCTAAAATATGTTAGATTTAAAGTGTACTTTTGTAAAAGAAACGAATTTGAAAAATTGGAGACACTCTCTTATTGGATTTGACATTTCGCGATGTGCCTTTGACGCCAACCGACAAATCATATGCTATTATTATAGCGTCTAATTAACCTAGTGACATCATTCAAGATGCTACCAATGTGGCTGCTGTTTGAATTGATTCTTAGTTATTGGAAATTGAATATTATATTTCATGACATTTAATTTTATTCGTGACGTTATTCATAACTTAAAACGTTTAAATGAATTTTTTGGTGTTATGGGTGTCATAGTAAATAGATTTTTACCATAAAAAAGCATGCATATTCCCTATTATTATATCGTAAAGCATTACAAGCTTAGTAACCTTCAACAACATTATCGATACTTTGATTTTTTTTTTTTATAGGATCGGGTGACAAACGAGCACACAGTCCACCTGATGGTAAGTGGTTACTGTGACCCATAGACATCTATATCTATCCTCAATAAAGACTCAAGATGCAGATGCGTTGTCACCCGTGAGGCCTAAGATGGAATGCCTCTTTGCCAGTAAAAAGGGTCTCCGGTTCTCTACACTCACCATACGAAACACAGCAGCGTTGAGCTGCTATTTTACGCTGGTTTTCTGTGAGAGCGTGGTCCTTCCCCGGTTGAGCCGACCCATTCGCGCTACAACCATAATATAGCTGCAGCATGGCTCTACCACGTAAAAATTTGATGTCGAAATGGTAACATTCATAAAACGGGTTTTTACCCCACATTTAGTAGCGTCACCTACTGGGGAATAGCTGAAATGTTTTTTTAATAAATATTCTGCGTAGTTTGGCTATGTTTATCTAGAGAGCGTCACACTCACGCGAGCTCAAAGTTTTTGTATGAAAACGCTCTCTGTGTCCACTCTATAGTATACCTATATATTTAAATCTCTTTGGATTAACTCAATCTATTTTTTAAACTTTTTATCTATCATGTGGGAAGCCATGGAATGTAAATGGCAGTTTAATTTTATTTTGTTTTGTTATAATTAATTTATTTCGGCAGAGAAATCCCGAAATTTTCTGTGTTTTGAGCAGCCTTGTATTAATTTATTTTACTAAATACACTTTGTCTCACTCCAGGCCACAGAGTACTTTTTTATTCTGAGCATGCATGTTTGGATAAACGTTTTACACATCAAAACAAGTCGAGAACAATTTGTTGCAGACTATTATCAACATCATCACATCACAAACAATATTGACAATTTTAAAAATAATTTTTTTATGATATTAAAGTGACAAAGGAACTTACAGTTGATCTAATTAAAAGTGTTTGCTACTACAGCTTCTGGACATCTGCAACCAACTTCAAACAAAGAAGGCAACAGGTACATTGGGAACTCTGATGACTAAGATGGAATGCCTCTGAGCCTTTATTATACTAGCTATCTATAACCTTCAGACAAGAGAGTGATACCTACCTAGGCGGACTCGTACGCAGAAATGGAGTTCTACAACATAGTAAAGATACTATATGTCATCCTATTTGTACAACATTCACTTTAAAAATTGCTTATTGAATATAAGATCCGTGTAATTTAGTGTTGTAGCAGTGTAAGAATAGCCACTACGCCATATCATCCCTTGGGTGTCTTAAGAGGCAACAGAGGGATACAAATCAGGAGATGGGCAGCAGCGTCATACTAATAACGACTAAAATAAGAAAACTGTGGTTGCCAAGCGTGGCAACTATTAAACTATAAAAAAAACCCCTACGGAGCAATCTATGGGGAAGACCTATGTTCTGCATAGGCTGTAACAGAATAAGATAATATTATTAACTAAAACTAATTGCTAATATACCACATGCTACGTGATGCAGGATTATTTAAAATTAAAAATTTTGTACAACCAATTTTAATATAAATCATTAAAAATAACTCAAAAACTCTTAGTCAGACCTTGATCAAATTTATATGGGACCACATGTGAAGCACCAGCTTTCAAATAAAATAAAGAATCATCGAAATTTGTTCACCCGGCAAAAAGTTATGAGGTAACAAACATAAAAAAAACACAGTTGAATTCAGTACATCCTTCTGTTTGAAGTCAGTAGAAAATATAGTAGAAACCTGCATTTGTAAGCAATAAAACATTTTGAGAGCACTAGAACAGGGCAGCAGTCTGATTGCTCTAAAACCCAGCAGTAGAAAGTATAATTCTGTTTCACTACTACAAGCATGTTAAGATATAACACTATTAACAATAATTAAAAAATTAAAAGCGACACTACATAGTGACAGTGATTATTTAACAATGCTGTCAATTTAATGTTTGTAGCACCTAAAATAGCTCCTGACAAGCATCCCCTAAGCTCCTAATAATTCAAACTGAGCTATTGTAGTTGTTATGGAGAACACATTGATATAAAGTAATACACAAGCAATGTATATATAATGCTAAATCAAAAGTAGTACACTGGTTTAACATTAATAATTTGCTTTTGAACGGTAATAAAATGAAATGTATTAAATTCACAAATGTAAAACAGGTGAATATCAATGTGCTTTTAAATGGGGAGGAGCTGGGCCCTGTTGAAACCACTGTTTTTCTCTCGGAATTACAGTTGACGCGAAGCTTCAATGGGGCCCTCATATATATTCCGCAGCATATGCTGTAAAAAAGATTAGATGCCTTACATGTGTTAAAACAGCTAGATTAGTTTATTTTAGTTATTTCCATAGCATAATGTCATTGAAATCTTGCTATGGGGTAATGCGACTGATATTGAAACTGTCTTTGTTTTGCAAAAGAGACCCACAAGAGCAATTTATAACCTAGGTCTGAAGGAATCCTTAGAGAAAAATTTAAAGAAATAAATATATTAACTTTGGCCTCTCAATATATTTACGAGAATTTAATGTATTTATACAAAAACAAAAATTGTTTTATTAAATATAGTGATGTACATTCTGTAAATACTAGGAATAAGCACAAGTTAGTTATACCAGTTACTCGACTTCAAAGAGTCAGTAACGCCTTCATGGGGCAATGTATACGCTTTTACAACAAAGTCCCAAAACCAAAACATATGCATACCTTTTCTATCAAAGGGTTTAAATTATTTATTAAGCAAAAATTGTCTAGTAAGTTTTATAATACTATTAAAGAGTACATGACTGAAAATAACCCCTGGGTATGAGGTGATCACTACCATGCTGTTTCTAAATGTTTTCATAATAATTGTATAAAATATTATATTGTAATTGTGCTTTTTAAAAAAAAAGTCCCGCTGGGTTTCTTGCTGGTTCTTTCCAGAACGGAGGTTTTCTTGCGAACCAGTAAAAGTCAAAAATGATTTTCAATATGTATTATGTATTGTAATCTATTTTGAATAACAATGATTCTATTCTCTTCTATAGTTATATTTTATACGTGGTAGAGCCATGCTCCAGCTATATTACTGGTATAGTTGTAGCGCGAATGGGTCGGCTCGACCGGGGAAGAACCACATCATTATCATCATTACAGCCCTTCACAAGTCCACTGCTGAACATAGGCCTCCCCCAAAGAATGCCACAAAGCACGGTCCTGAGCCACCTGCATCCATCGACTTCCTGCATATTTTACCAGGTCGTCACTCCATCTAGTGGGGGGACGCCCTACACTTTCGGGAAATTACGGCACATCTTCTCGTCAGGTATACCTCAAAACTTGAAAACAAGACTGTATAACCAGTGGGGACGGACCACGCTCTCATAGAATACCAGCGTAAAATAGCAGCTTAATGCTGCTGTGTTTCGTATGGTGAGTGTACAGAACCGGAGACCCTTTTTACTGGAAAAGAGGCATTCCATCTTAGTTCTCACGGGTGACAATGCATCTGTATTTTGATTCGTAATCGAGGATAGATGTAGATGTCTATGGGCCACATCAACCACTTACCATCAGGTGGACTGTGTGCTCGTTTGTCACCCTAATCCTATAATAAAAGTTACTTATAATTGAATTTGAAAAACCTTTTTTTACGAAAATTGACTGAGGGGGTCCCAAAATGATCACATGTCATTTTGGAATTTCCCTTATGGCCAAATACTCAAACGGTACTCAATTTGAAGACGTCGTTCAATCTCGCAGTGCCACAGTCACTTTGACTTAAAGTGAAAGAGACAGCACGAAACTTAACGGCTTCTTAAAATTGAGTAGCGTTTGAGTATTTGGGCATTTGTCACCCTATTCAACTCCAAAAAATGTTATTAATTTCACTGCATGTTGTTTTTTTTTTAATGTATGTAACATAATTTATGAATTAATATCAACTTTAGCTATTTTGTTTATTTATCGATACAGTACTTCCACAGTGGTTCCACATCAAATTTCAAACAAATATTGTATTTAATAATGCAAATATTATTTTGTTCTTTATAGCGACTTAAACTGACGGGATATTTTCTCTATGAATCTGTACCAGAAAAAGTGGCATACGATGAATGGTTTGAGAAGTTACAACTACCAGACACTTTCGCATCATGGTTTACAGTCACAGAACTCCATGTATGGTTACTTTTAGTAAGGTATATGGCTGAAGATGTTACGTCCATTAGCACAGACAAGAAAAAGTATATCAAAGGGGATGGACATTTTGTGAGAAATTGTATAATTGAAGCTTTATGGGCAGATGTTGCTAATAGGATTAAACTTCTAGAGGTAAGCATATTTCATTGTACAGAATCCGTTTAAATCATTGAGCTTTAGAAAGAGATATTTGGCACTAATTGTCACATTCATTTCTTGGTGTTGTCATAGAATTGACAACTCATACTTACCACCTTTTCAAGCAGGCAGCTCGCGATGTTTTAAGATATATACACAAGTTATAAGCCATAAAGGTTCTATGTAATAAATAACTATATATATTATAATAAGGTACCTATCTACAATAAATAAAATAACATTCTAAATAATATAATAGTACCTAACTGTACATAATTATGTAAAGCTACATCAAAATGTGTGACCTATTTATTTGTTAGTAATTCGTAAATTTAATCCTCCAAAGCATATACACTTCAAATAAATATAATGTTTTAAAATAACGTAATGTTATAAAATAAGTCGGTGCGAGTTCAATTAATAAAATTAAGAAAAAAACATAAATACATCTAAAAATAATTTTTAGATGAATTTATGTTTAGTATGAATTTGCCAAAACGGCTACGCGGGTTGGCGATTGCATTACCAAACGTCTCGCATCTTTGACACTGTTTCCTCATTGCTGATCTGTGTATGTATTTATAATATTGTTTAACACCAAATGATTAACCGCCACTACATGGTGTACGGCTTTGAGATTTCACAACAGATATAATAGGTTTTGTTTTCTGGTTAATGATTATATTGTAATTGCCACGGTATTATAGCCTAGTTTGTCATCCGGTAGTAAGTGTAACATAGGCTAGGTAAAGAAGATCAGAGGTTTGGAACTATAGTAACTCATGAATAATTATATTATATAATAATAATTATTTAGTTGTTTCTGTTGTTGTTAATCAGACATCGTCACCATAGTGAATATTGGCCAGATGGAAATCATCAATTAAGAATCAATTACTTATAATTTTTTTTCTTAAATTCAAGGGTGCAAATCCGGTGATAGCCAGAAAACAAGTATCAGAGCTATCAGAGCAGTTTCAAGCAGCATTGGTTGCATATGATGAAGGTCTGAGTGAAGACAGAATTATGGCTTCAGCGGTCTGGAGGAGATTCTACGCATTGTCGGACGAAGTTAAAGCCGAAAATATTGAAAGCGTTGTACATTTTATTCGGCATCAGGTAATCGGGAATTTCATAAGATAATTTATCTTTTTACAAAATAATTGAAAGCTGAAATTAACAAGTTACATATTTTCTATTGCAGGTATCAGAACTTGACAAGATATCGAGTAAAGATTTAAAATGGAAACCTAATTTTACCTGGTTAAGTATCAATGATCACTAACTTAAAAACGAGTGTAAATACAACATGTAAAATAAATAACACTATACAATGATTGATTATTGTTATTTATTGTTTTTTAGTAGTAAAAATAGTAATGATTATGCTTTGTGTTTTGAATAAAACTCTTTCCGAAGCTCTTCACATTTTTCTCTTTGCCAGAGAACAGTTGTTACGATTTTACACAGATTATCTATCTTGCATTCGCTATTGCAGTACGGCCATCTTGTGTCACTCAATTTTGAATAATACGCGGAATACAAATCTAATAAGTTGGTGTCAGTTGTCACCATACGATGAACCAAACGGTCCATTGTCTCTGGATTTAAATTACTAATAGCAAAATCGTTTTTCATATCGTACAGTTGAAACCAATGTGGCCGGCGTCTGGGTGTTAAATTTGCTTCAGTTAGGTTATACACATAGTTTACAATATTTTGTGCCTCCTGAAAAAAATAATCATTTTTTATTTTTAAAAATAATAGAATAATATTGGCTCATCCAACTTCCAGTGATAGCTTTTGTAATCGCATTATTTACTTTTGTGTGAAAGAAATAACGGAAAACTTAAAAAAAATCTGTAGTATAGTATAAATTTATTTTTCCATAGAGTACTGACGGAGGATATAGGTCTGGTAAATAAAGTCGTAACTTATTCGTGCAAAACTGCACGTAGTCACTTGGCATGGGACCGCATTAAGAATAATATACATGAGTAAGTCATTTTTGGAGGAGAATAATATCCCCAACAGCAGCATCGTGTAACCACTGCTTTAATTTTTGGAAGAGAATATTCACAACTAGGTACAGTAGTTTCATGTAACCGCTCCTACAGTTACACATATAAAATGCCAGCCAAAACGAATCTTTCACTCGCGATATTCCCTAAATAGCTGATGCTCGCGACTTCGTCCGCGTTGCTTGATATATCAAAAACACACATCATTGAACACGTAGTGCTTATAAAAATTGTTGTTTCTTAAAATTTTAACAACTTTATATTAAATGAAGATATCGCAATATTTTTTTTAAAAATAAGCGTCAAGTGTCTAAGAAATAAAACTTAGAAAACTTAATTGGAAGCTATCGAGTAGTTTTTCCTCGATGCGGCTCAACTGCAAACCTCTATCATTTTAGTTATATACCTAGATATGCATCCTTGTGATTAAATTTTTTTCGGCATTATAAAGAGGCAGCTCAGATCTGACCAGCAGGGCTAGCATGGGCTGGAGACAATCTTATCCCCGGGGAAATAAGAAAATGTTTATCCCCTCGCTTAGTTTTATCCACCCTTCGAACATGGGCACACCGGTGGATATAATATCCACAGTAGATAAAATTAGATAGACTTAGATAGATTTTTTGTATGATTATAAACTTAAACCCACGTCCAGTGAACTAGGATAAATTGTCCTTTTCAAATGTCAAAAAAGCATATTTTTTATCTTTCGTTTTGCTCCATGCTGCAGACTATATGTCTACTCGTTATATCAAACGGGGATATACTTCTGCCCGTTGCCGTGCTTTGGCATAAGGACAAGATAATTTTATCTCTTGTCAGTGGATATAATCGGGGGATAATTTTTTTGTGCCAAGCCCATGCTAGCCGTGCACATCAGATTTAGTCGGTACCACAGAACACCTATTACTCTTTACTAAGATGTCGATACAGTAGGAAAGAGTTAGATCATTACTTATAAAAATGACAAGGTTTGATGCACTGTTCTTAAAAATTATAAAAATATAATATGACAGCAGAAGTGGTACAACCTAATATGAACGTAAACCTAATGTAAATACTTCAGATACATACAAATGTCGATGGATCGAAGGTAGCAATTTTATAATTTAAATTATAATTGCTATATGAAGTGGCGGCGCCCCCTCCCCAAGCTACATTGATAGGTCTACCATCAGACAAACTATAAAATATCTTAAACTCATCCGAGTGCACGTGGCCGTTGAATTCGGCTGCGATTGTTGATGAAAATCTGAAACAATGTTTAAAACTGTTACTATTTTGTAACTATTGTATATTATGATGATGCAATTACTAATTTCTGCCCGTGAAGATCGAACCCGGTTACCTACATCGTGTATTACCTAGGATATTTAAAGGTGAGGGCATATTCCCTAGTCATGAAGTGGAAGCAGGGGTTGAAAGCGGTATAGGTATAAGGGTATGGTACCGGTATAGAATTACGATACAGCTTCGATTTAAAGGTAGAACCAAAATGGTTGAGTATTACGGTTGTGGTATCGTTAAAAAAATAATTATACATATATTTTTTTAATGTATCGTTATACCTATATTATTACTAACACCCTTATCGAAATAAATTCGGTACCGAAAAAAATGATCAGTTGAAGAGCGCGCGACGCGGCGGCAGCGGCTTACTTATATGGCGCTTGACACGACAGGCGTGTCGCGAAAAATTTGTTTGCTGCCACAGCTCTAAAAGTTGTCGAAAATTGGTGTCGCAACGATTCGGTTAAGACATGCTTAATGAGTTTATACTTACTTTTATCCATCTTAGCGACAATCTAGTTGTAAAGTTTCAACAAAGCAACCTTTGATTAAGTTGATAAACAAGGTAGACGCGGAAACATGAATGGCGGCAAAATAGCAAAACAACCTGCTTTGTCTTGCTGTATATAAAAAGCCTCCAGTTCCAGTATATAAAAAGTACTCTGTGCTGCCAAGGCACGAATAACGAATATCAGTAAATATTCGATCAAGTACCCACTCTCCTACCATTGCGACCGACACGCCGCGCGATGCCTCTGCGCGGGCGGCAGGGTACAAAGAAAACCTTTATTTTATAATTTAGATACTTGAAAAAGTAATGATACCGCAATATTACAATATCGAAATTATACAGGTACCTTTATTTTAAGGTGTCGAACTTTAAAGGAATGACGTCATACCGCTAACCGTTTTAACCATGATTTTTTCGGTTATTCAGTCCCTGAGCGGAAGCGATAAAGAAAAACATTGTGAGGAAACTGGAATGATTGTAAAAACTAATTGGGACAGCGAGGCGGACTCTTATCTGCTATAAAAAATTGTGATGTGACTATGTCGTGGACACGGTCGTGTGTTTTACGTGAAAACGTGTACGTAATGAAACTACCTCAAAATGGCGCCATACCCCCCCCCCCCCCCCCTCCGCACCTATCGAGTAGTGTCATCAAAATTTTGGATGGATGTATGTAGCTGCAACACAAAACTGTATCCGATAATTTTGTTATCATCATTTTTCTGAATTGCCTTCCACTGTGGAAGCAAATTTGGAGACGTATTCACGTCAAAAAACGTCTCAGAAATAAGAGACCTGTTTCGAGAAATGGCCCGATTCTGACCGTGGCGACTAAATTCATACGCTATAGGAGCTTTGTGTGTGTTGTGTGTAGTTGTATGTAAGATTTCTAGCTTTCAAAAGCGAATGTATAAACAAAGTAAACTTACCTGTTAACTATTCGGTTGTACTCCCTAGTCCATACATAAGCCAAATCATGTACTCCAGGCGGTATGTGAGTCAGAATGTGAACCTTTTCGCCAGCCGATTCCGCTTTATAGAGCTCTTGTACGAGCCAATCTAAATGGCGCTTTGGTTCTAAAGGATCGTATACTAGCCACCTGAAATCATGTTTTAATTTGTCAAAGACATAATACCTAATAGGTACCTAACAAGAATACAATAACCACTAAATTTTTAATGAGGAAGTTTATGTGAATATGTAAGTAAGTATATCTGAAATGTATAAAAAAAATCTATTTTTATAATAAAAAACGTTGCTCTAGGATTTTTCCTGTATCGTGGAGGAAGTTTATACATACATAAATTTTACAAGGACAAACATCCAGAACCGGATCAATTATTTGTAGGCCATACAAATACTTGTTCCGTACGGGATTCGAACCCATCGCCCTTAGCGCTGCAACTCATTGCTAAGCCACTGCGCCACAGAGCCGTAAACCGTAATTGTAATTATTAATACCCTCCCTGTAAGTGGTGACAGATGCTGTAAAACTAATAATTAGGTACTAGACATATTATAGAATGATTAACACGAAAGGAAGAAGACTGAACAAATATCAGATGTCAATCATGACGCCGATAGACCTTACATGTCTTTGAAATATTTATTCATTACAATCCATCAAAAGATATTGCCTTAGTTGCCACGCTTGGCCGGCGGGTTGACAACCGTAGTTTTATTATTATTATAATTGTGTTGTTATCAGGAACATGATGGTTACCATGTCCTGTTTCAGTTATCCACTGCCGCCTCTTACGTCACCTACAGGATCTTATGGGGTAGTTGATTTCTCTACGCCGCGCCGCCGCTACACGACTTCGAAATACATTATAATCTCGTGCTTCTGCACGAGGTTTATCGACGTCACCAATAACACTAAAGTTTGGGTTAACAATTTCGGAGTTGACAGAATCGGAAATTGAAATTTAACGAAAGGAGGTACCTTGTTTTGTACTATAAGAATGATTGGTTTTCTGTTGACATTTCTATTAAAATTTGAAATATTATAAGTAAGTATTAGCCTTACTTAAAACAAGACACTAAAATTATGCGGAATGTTAATACAAATAAATAAATGAATCTGAACATGAGTGATTCGTCAAATTTTTAGTTTTTAATTAAGTGTATTCGTTTCCATTATGACCCCGTCAATATTAATACTTATAAAGGAATAAACTTACCAGTTATATTTATAAGCGGTGTTAGTATTCAGCGAAATAACTCTCAAACCGGGCCTTACTAATCTTGAAAAATCGCCTCGAGCTCTAAATGTCGCCTTAGCTTCGTTGGTCAAGTAATAGTCCCATTTGTTCAATAAGGCTTCATAGAGCCAAGTGGTATTTAACTTTGGTGCTGTGATTGTAGGCGGTGCAAACCTGTAAAATAATGTATGAAGTAGATATAGATAAAGAATGAGGTGATAATGTGTGGCTTGTTCGAATGTAGGTACGATAATTCGCTAATTAATTTGTATTTGTATTTTTTTGTATTTTGTAATTAAATTGGTTTGGTAGGACTTGCAGTAATTTTGTTCGTCAGTCTCATTTGAGTTACTAAATTCCACCATCGTAAACTGCGACAGAACTCGAAATTACATCCTCATCATCTCGATGGTTGGCGATCCACTACAATACGATTTACGCGGAATTTTCCCGGTTTTTCCAGACCGATATGACTTGGGGAACTTCAAGTAAAGAGCCTAAACCTTTCTAAAAGACCGGCAACGCACCTGCAATTCCTCTGGTGTTGCAGATGTTTATGGGCCACGGTGTACACTTACCATTAGGTGACTCGTATGCTTGTTTTCCTCCTTTTACATAAAAAAAAATACGTCTGACTGCGCTTTAATTTTTAATTACTTACTGATTTGTTGGTTGTGACTCGTGGTTTCCAATAGTTGGTACAATTAATACATTGTCTCCGAAGCTCTTTCTCATTTTTTCGATTAAATATAAATGAGTTTCATTTATCATATCATAAGTGGTCTCCCATACACTGTGGTCTATGGTGTCACCGATGTAATATACAACATCGAACTGAAATGATTGACATCAAAGTATACAGTTTTGTCATTATGGATTGAATATGAGGAGATGTTTGCCAGCTCTTAACATTGGGGTAATTAATCAGATTTTATTTGTAATTAATGTAAACAGCGGCGTAGCATGTGTATGTGTAGTAGTCGCCCGGAGCCGATAAAATACCCCCGTGTTGTTTGTAAGTAGTTTTCTTAAAAAGGTAAGGTACTAAATACGAAAACATATAAACCACCATTTGCATATTGTTATATCCTACATATAATCTCATTCAATGTATATCTGTATTGCACAAGATCATAAAATACTTTATCAAGTGTATGAACACATCGCAATCAGTGATAAATGATAACACGAGAGTGTAATATCTACTGATTATTATGTTTTTATAATTTTTCAAACTTTCAATTTCTTTATTCAATTTCCAAGTACTTAGTTTTCATTTCATTATTTATAATACATTTCATTCGTAGAATTGAAAAACGTTTGCATAATGAGTAACTAATACGAGTACGTAGGATAATGAATACTTTGCATATTTTTAAAGCAACTTTACTACCTTTAACGCAGTCTAGATGCTTTACATGTGAAAATTATTCGTTATAGTTTGCTTCTAATGAGGCTGAAACATCTTTCAAGAATTTATCATTAATCATTGTGGCTTACCACAACACTCACATAACAAAACCAATGTATGGTAACAGATTCACTTCTCTTTCCGTCTATTGCTGTCCTTTTTCACTCTTACACTTACTGGACTTAAATAAATAAAACTACAATTAGAATATTACTAATTTAATCTTTGTCTCCATTTTGTTATAGTACTATGTACCTACTTTCCTTATCCTTGGAACGAAAGCACGACATAAAGTCTGATTCGATTTTTGGGACCTGCAGTGGCGGATTACCCCTAAGGCAAACTAGGCACGTGCATAGGGGCGCAAGGTTAAAAAGGAGCGCGCGCAGAACTATTAAAACAAAAAATCGTCTATTTGATTACTCCTACATCGCCCTCACTCTCTGTTAAGGGACCAGCTGTTAAGGGTACTCGTGTCCTAATTATTTTGTAACCATAAACTATATTATAAGTTTTAATATAGTTTATTTGCAAAATGGGTAGTTATAATGTCCGGTAGAGGGGCGCCGATGAGGCTAGCTAGCCTAAGGTGCTGTCGATATTTAATCTGCTTCTGGGGATTCTTGGGGACGTGGGGGAGTATGTGTTTGTGTTAGCGTTAACTCTGGGCACTATATCTCTTGTACGGTTAGCTTCCTATAGCTTTGAAAAGTTATCGCTGTTATTGAATTATTGAATTCGGGAATGGGGACACTTCACAGTTATTTAACTGTTTAACTGAACATTTCTCATTACGAAAATAGTTTACAAACTGAAAACATACCTGATGTGAGGAAGCCATCCTATCAATAACGTCATCAAATGCCCATTTTGGCGTGTCGCAATTCCTGTAATCTCCCCAATATCCCGCCGGCTCAACATTTCTTGAAGTTTGAAACCTTGTACGGTATTTACTCCGTATCTCTCTCATTTTTGGCACCGCACTCATGTTTAATAAAATATCATCACGAGTAAAAACCACTATGTCTTGCACGTCTACGTCGTTTGTGATTGGTGTGTATGTGTAAGATCGAGAAAGAGTCTGCCCTTTTCGACAACAGGTTGGCTCTCCACATTCCGCTACTCCAAATGGTTCATACAGCGGATCTATATGTGTATCCGTAATAATTGCTACAGTGAGGGGAGCCCCATCAGAAATAGAGGGCTGTAAAAGTCACACACATCAAATTATGATCACGTTTAAAAACAATAAACAACACGCATTGATCAAGAGTTGTGATGATAATAGTGAAAATATTAGGTCGTAGAAATGAAATTATTTTTTTATTTCAGATTATTCAGGAAGCACCTCCAGAAGTGGGTGAAAATTGTTATAAAACTACATTACATTCATACATACAGGTCAAGCTAATAAAAGCATGTTTTAAAGCACCTCTACGTTTGAATATAATTATATATTTTTTATAATAAAAGTTATTTAAACCTATGAAATTGGCGTTCTGCAGTACTGGCCATTTCAAATCAAAATAATTTTTGTTTCGCTAGGAATTCTAATTTCAAATTAATTTTATTTTAAAACATGGAATTCTTTTTTCAAAATTAGTCATTTGTTTATTGATTAGCGTCATGTTTTCACTGTATTTGAATATATTTTGTCATCATCGATACGTTAAAAATTTGAGTAATTATGGGATATAAGTGCCGTCGTGGCAGCAACGCGGCACAAGCGGTACCCGCTTCCGTTCTGGAAATTTCGACCTGAAAAATGAACCCTGTGGTCGTTCGAAAACTTTGGTCGACAAAATAAAGGCGATTGTGGAAGCTGATGCTACTTAATCTACAGCGGAATTAGTCGCAGCTTCTGACGTTAGCATCAAAACAATATTAGTCCATTTGCGTCAAATTGGCATGGTAACAAAGCTTGACAAATGGGTGCCCCACGAACTCAATGATCGCCAATGCGATGTACGCGTCGAAACGTGCATTGCACTGCTTAACAGGCACACAAACGACGGAATTTTGAACCGCATTGCTACCTGCGACGAAAAATGGATTCTATTTGAAAATATGAAACATAGAATAATGAATAAAGAAAAAAATTGTGTTAAGTTATTTCTTAAAAAACGGCTATTTAATAGGTAAAGAACTAATATTAATCCTTCGTTTAGGGCTTTCTGATTTTTTCCTTGTCTTTGTTTAGTTTAGTTTATGAGGAATTACCGAAATTAAAATAATATTTCCTTCTATATGAAATAAATAGAGACCAACTTGAATCACCTATGGAACTGTTGAAATTTAAATGAGATTACTGACATCAGTAATCTCATTTAAATTCAGGTGTATTTCTTTTACATAAAAGAAAAAACACAGCAAAATCAGTTAATTAAAAAAATACAGTCGAATTAACAACCTCTTCCTTTGCTTAATTGCGTTAAAAACGCTTACGTCACATTCCCATGTCAAAAGTGTGGAGGTCATCCTTGGCACTTGTTACTGGCTTAGTTTGATGTGTATATACCAATTATGGGAGGCAAGTAGTAGTGCTGGTGAGCTAGCGATGCAAGAGAGCGGATACGAGGCACGAGCGCTTCGACCCTCGTACTTGCGTCGAATTCGTATCCGCTCTCCGAGATCGAGATTTTCAAATGGATATACAGACATTAGCCACTAATTCTAGGTGAGGTTCCATTTATAGAAAACATTTAATATTTAATAAATTTAAATTACTTAAGAATTTACTTTTTTCATAGTCATGGTAAGTGAATACATCTACTCTCAATAAAGAATGAAAATGCAAATGCGTTATCAGCCCTGAGGATTTGATTTATGCGTTGATTATGGCGATGCTCCACTCGCCCTATCCTCCGCGACTCTGACGGGGCCGCACGTTTATGCGGTGGTGGTGGGGCTGCGGGGAAAGATGAGTGTCGGTATTGCGAGGCGCCGCTCGCCCTACTCTGTGCAGCCACATTTTAGTTGGTGGTGGAGCCATAGACCAGATCCGCATCTGGGATCGGGAAAGCTACTGCTTCCCAGTGCTCGTTTTTCATGGCCCCATGGCCCCTGTGTATCGGACTCGGGGGAGTCCGTTTCGCAGTAGGAGTTAGAGGCCGTGAAGGAAGGCGCGCCTTGTGTTCCTGGAGGGGCTGCCATGGGGCGGCCGGCGCTGGTGGGGCCGCGGATGTGTGCGAAAGCGTTCCCGTAGCGCTGCCAATATGTGGCGAAGGTGGAACATCATGGGTTTTGGTCGGTGCAAGTCCGACAACCCGTCCAAGCCCCCGCGAGACGAATATGCGTAGGCATTTTCTCATGAAAAAAAAACCGTGCTTTATTGTGGCGTAATGCCATTCAGGGAGGCTTATGTTCAGCTGTGGACTTGTAAATTGGCTGTAATAATACTTAATTAATCTACTGGATAAAAAAGACATTTTCACTTACCACTTTATCTTCTATTTGCTCTGGTAATTCAACCTGCCATTCAAATCTTGGGTCATCGTTGGTGCAAAAATAGGGATTGTCGGCCCTTTGCAAAACAAGCCCACAAAAGTTTCTTGACGTTGCTTCAGGTGTATTTCTGATGATGTAAGTAATGATATGCTACGAAATAGATATAATTTTTTGATTAACATCATAATTCAGTCCAGTTTTTACAAAGCACGCTACCGCTACTGACTGGGTTAACCTATTTAGATCTATAAAATAATCCATTAAAGCCTATTCTATTTCAGGGGCAGGGAGCGGCAACTGCCTCCCCCCACCCCACCTAGAGACTCAAAAGAATGTAGTCAAATGCAAAGCAACCAGTATGATTTATTTTACATACAGTCATGAGAGCGCGGGGAACTTTACACGTTGGAATTTGTACCGATCTTATATCCAGGCTTTCATACTGCCCAATTGTAGGTGTATTATGTATACTACCTTATTTATGTTCAAAACTCAAACCAATTAAGAAAGATAAACTGATCGGTACATTTGAAGTGACACTAAAACCAAGCCAAAACTATTATAAACAAATTATTGCAAGAGCACACACCCATATGCATCGAAAATCATTTGCAACCAAGAGCGCATATAGTTTTAGGTGCTAAAGATTCTTGTGGACTGTTAAAGAAAGAAAGAAGAAAGATGTTTGTGTGAGTGCGTGTCAAGTTGAGCATGGTTTCGGCGTCGCGTGAAATGTACGTGGTGTTCGTACTATCATGTTGGTCTGCGCTTAAAACTCAATTAATAATTCTTTAAATTCTTGTCTCGTAACTAATAATTTATAAGAAATATAAGACCAAATTGTTCTCTTTTTGGGAAAAGCGGTTTTTTTTTCATCAATCATATGTTTTTGATTGCATTTGAATTAGCTTTACAGCTACGGCATCCACATCACTGCCTTGATACTTTGTGACGCAACTGAGAGACTGATACTGAGCAAATTCATAGAGCTTAAATGAATGTGTTGATTAAAACGTAATAATTATATACTCTTTTGTTTAGATGCAAAATCAAGCATGTTTTCAGAAAACCATGCTCTATTAAACTTGCGCATCGAGCATGTATCTTCGTAAAGACACATCATTATATTCTCTTTCTTAGCAGACGTCTTGATCACTTCGTCACGCTTAGCACCTTAGTAGGCGGATTGACGATCGCACAGTACCAAATAGTGTTGCCAGGTGTCCCGATTTGCGCGTGACGTCTCGATTTTCAGGGGTATAATGACACATCCCATTTTACCCTGGATCGGGATGCCAAATATCCTGAATTTTCACTAACTTCCTTAGTCTGTACTAGATAGATAATTTTGACAGCAATAATGAATACATAAGTCTTTAAGCTGTTACCATATTATTAACATTTTTTGCTTTGACATTTTCATATTTTCTCACCAAACTCTGACTAAATAGTTAATATAAAAGATTTAAACTTCGCATGTATTATGTTGGCGAAATACAGATATCATTCATGCTGTCTCCTTTTTATCCTCCCACCGCACATTTTTAACTCTCTTTTTTATTCTTTTACTTTTGGAATATCCGCAGTTTGGTTTATCCGTTTGAATCTAATTAATATAAAATATAGTTAGCATTTCATAAAAAAAAAATCGACACTTTTAACAAATTTGTAACAAATTAACTTCCCCCACTATGAAATTTGTCAAAAAATTCACCTAATCCCTAAGTGGTGCCGCCCTGGTGGCAAAAATATCGTGGATACTTTCATTCTATGATCATTTATTATTTCATGCTTTTATTAGTAATCAATACAGTATCTAACTTGCGGTTTAGCTAATTAAATTTATTAGATAAAATGTAAGCCTTGTGTTATTTTCAATAAATAAAGTGACATTATGCGTGCGATGCTATGATTTTATCTGGGCTTTTCATTTTTATTGTATGTTGCCGTTTTTGAGGGTTTTTTGAAGTACTTTGATTGAATTGAATTTAGAAAAATTAAAGTAGCAACGAAAAGAAATAGTTCAACAAGTTCTGATTCGCGGAAAAATAAACTCAGTCGAATGTGCAATTTTTCCGATGTTTGGACCCATAGAATAATTATAAAGTACATAGCGCATTGTGTCAGAAATACTTTTATATAACTCATTGCGGCTACATTATATATTTACATTTACACAAGATATATTTTGTGACCTTTGCAAGGCCTTTGACTGTGTTTAACATGAAACATTATTTAGGAAGTTATAACATTATGATGTTAAGAACACATTGCTTAAACATATTGTTCAGTACAAACTAAACATATAAAATAATCTAATAATTTATTGCTAAATTAATATTTTGTATGGCAACATTAAAGTGTAACTTTTGTATTCATTTACTGTGGAAACTTTTTTCCTTCTTCTGTCAACCTAGCCAGCGTGTGGTTGCTTTGCTTTGTCCACTAAATTAAGTGTAAGTAAAGAAAAAAAAAACCAGAAATAAACAGTTTTCAAATGTCATTGCATGTTTTTCTTATACATGCAATTGTGGTCCTTCTAGCCAGATATGAACCAGCGACCTATGGATATATTTCATAATTAAGTAATAGGCAACAAAAAAATTTTGGAGCTATTGTACTTGCCTTGAAAACCAAATTCCCGATTATTTCTACCTTCCTTCCCGAAATTTAACCCACTGGACCTGGCAACACTACTACTAAAGGTCTCGCGGTACTTAGAATAATAACACCTATAAGTCGAGTCCGCGTCCGTAATGCGAGCATGCGAGGCAACTCAAACTAAGCCAGTATGGCTTAATTCAAATATCAATGATAAATTTTAAGGAAACTTTTTATATGGTCTGATAATAAATGCATGTTTAGTTTTCGTTTTAAGTTTTCTTCTGATCCGATCATTGCGGCTCGTTGGACAGAAAACATCAGATACAATCGAAATGAAAGTAGTTGGAAGCCCAAGGAAATTTGTTCTTTACATTTTGAGGATAAAGTAAAGTATATTACTAGAGGTGGCCTATGTAGTTCAGTGCAGTTCCAACTAAGGTATAAAAAATTCCGCCCTATACCTATAAACTGTCTTATTATGGATTGCTTTTAATTTTTTTTCTTAAGTTCAATTTTTGTGTTCTAGGGTGTGCCCGTTTTTTAGCACGGAAGACAACAGTGATGATTTAACTCAAGAACAAAATCAACTTCAGCCGGTTAGTTTTTAATATATCAACACAGAACCAAGTCACATAATTTATTTGTTGTTTTAAGCATTTATAATGCCATTATTTTAGTAAAAAGTCGTGGGTTCGAGTCCCGCTCGATACCAGTCGATTTTTTCTTTTCTTAAGTCACATAATATAAATGAAATGAATGCCAATATATAGGCGTTAAGGCCACCTTTTGTGTAGTAAAATAATAATAATATAGGAACTAAAGTAACAGTAAATTAATATGTCGATTGACGAGTAGCTATTGGCTTATTTTTTATTTACATGTTCTTTATTGCAACTAGTAGGTCGAGCAAAAACGTAATTACTACTTTATTTATTTACATTAATGTTCTTCAGGGAACCTCAGGTTATGAGACGAACAAAAATGTTAATCGAAGCGCTTCAATGACACCTTTATCTTCAGAACTGGATAAAATTTTTGATTCACCTAAAGAGGCTTCACTACGGAGACAACTAAGGAAAAAGATCTTGTTGCAACAAAAACAAACTAGAAAGATTGAAACTCTAAAGCAAAAAAATCGACGCTTAAAGAAAAGAAATGCCACTCTTAAAAATATTTTAATAGACTTAAGGAAGAAAAGATATATTAATAATGACATATCCAATATTTTGTCGGAAAATGTATTTGCAGCAGATTTATACAGTAGCTTAGCTAAAAAAAATATGTACGGATAAAAAAAGACCGATGCGTAAATACACTCCAGAATTTAGAAAATTCTGTCTAACCTTGCATTTTTACTCGCCACGAGCTTACATCTATGTTCGTAAAACATTTAATACTTGCCTCCCACATCCGAAAACTATTTATAACTGGTATAAAACCATAAATTGTTCCCCTGGTTTTACAGATGAAGCATTTCACATTTTGAATCGAAAATACTAAAATGTACACAGAAGAAATTAATATGTGCTTTAGTGGCTGATGAAATGGCAATGCGACCACAAAATATAAAAGGAGGCCAGGGGCGTGTAGACATCGGCACAGGTACATCTGAATGTACCACAAAGGCTACGGACGCTTATACGTTTATTCTTGTGTGCTTGAATGAACACTGAAAAATCCCATTGGGATATTTTTTGGTGCATGGTCTTACAGGGGGCAAAAAGCTAACTTGATAAAAATATGCCTGACTAAATGTGAAGAGGTGGGTGTAAAAGTGGTTGCTCTAACATTTGACGCACATTCGACAAATATATTAGCCATGGAATTATTAGAGTGCCAAATAAAGGACCCTGAGAATATGAAAACTACATTCACACATCCAGCAGCTGATAACGAGGTAGCGGTGTTTTTAGATTCCAGTCATATGATCAAACTGGTTCGGAATCATTTCGAAGACAAAAAAGAATTCTTAGACCAAGATGAAAATAAAGTGGACTGGGAATTTTTAACAAAATTAAATGACTTGCAAGAAAAAGAGGGTTTACACATTGCCAATAAACTAACTCGTAAACATCTCGAGTTTAGGAACTCTATTATGAAAGTAAAATTTCAGTTCAACTACTAGTAGAAGTGTAGCAGTGGCACTAAAATTTTGCCGCGAAGTCTTGAAATTGGACGATTTCAAGAATAGTAAGGGCACAGAAAATTTTATCACGATTTTCAACGACTTATTCGACATTTTTAATACGAGAAGGTTAACACAATATGGTTTTTGCCATCCCCTTTCAAATTCCAATAAAAAGGAAATATTCGATTTTTAGACAAAACCAAAAGATACATACTTAACTTACAGATTAAAACTACTAGAAAGCGCAAATATAATGAAAAAGAGGGTTTCATAAATCTCAAAATCAAAAGCTTCCAATCGGCTCTTACTGTAAAGTGCTCTCCTGGCTTTAAAGCATTGTTGGTTTGCATAGAGAGCCTAAAGTACTTATATAATACCTTAGTTGAAGATACAAAAGAACTGAAGTATATTACAACATACAGGTTGAGCCAGGACCATATCGAGCTACTTTTTGGATTGATAAGAATGCAAAGCGGACTTAATGACAATCCAAACGCTCTACAATTTAAGAGTAGCTACAGAAAACTGGTAACTGCGTGCCACTTGAAAATATACCTATTTTGACATGTTCGTCTGCTTTAACTTGCATCAATAATACTTCATTTTCCGAAAGATTTGATGATGAAGATAAAAATTTAACTGAACACTTATTGAAAACATCGATTCCAAATGATGTCGGATTTGAAATTACACGGGGTAGCGATGATCCTAACTGCAGAAACCACATTGTTGGTTATATAGCTGGAAACGTAGCAAGAGATGTCACAACCCGAGTAAAATGTAAATATTGTATCATCAAAGCGACAGTTGTTCAGGAAACATTTGCATATTAATATTCATTTTTGTTTTTCTTATAAAGTTTTCTCAATCACTTTAAGCTGGAATGCATCTAATGTGTAAAACCTGCCCAAATTAAAATGTTCTTATGTTTTTCGTATTGTAGCTTACGTTATGCAAGCAGTGAGGCGCGATGCACAAAAACAAATTAGTTAAAACAAACTGAATAATGCGTACTGAATTCACAAATCGTTCGTCGAAAAGTCGTGTGTCGGGCATCGGGCGGGTGTGTATATCGAACTTGCATTAGTCATAATTATAACGTCTCTATTCAGTTACAAAGAATAATATGCTGCAATCACATTTCGATGGCTCATAAAAGTGCTTGGATAGACAGGCAAATACCCTATTCAAGAATGTTTTGAATTTGGCGGACTACACTTCGATAACAGAATTCGAACAAACTTATTTTCAAATTTGTATCAGTAATACGTGATGTCGTAACTGTTAGTTTAATATAGTTTCAACTTCCCTACTTTTGGGGAAAATTTAATGTATTGGGAACATTGTTTTTTCACTTGTGTGCGTTTCGTCTAGATAAACACAACTTGCTTACGCAAACATAAATTTTGTTCTTGCTTCACGCAAGCTTCACGTTTGTACGTCCGCTTTGTAGGGAACTATCGTTCTAGGTGTTATTATTCTAAGTCGCGGTACCTTTGACGTCGCTGGCTGCTGCTAGTTGCCGGTCTGATTATTCTTGCGGAAACATTAAATTTCTTGTCTACCTACAAATTTTCGAACGGTATAATATTATAAAACTCTAAAAGAGTTAGTTTGCTCAGAGAAACTATCATCACATTTTTTACTAGATCACAACGACTACAGTACCCAGGACTTACGATTAACCGCAAAACATTAGTAAGAGAAGTAATATTTTGCTTTATAAGTTACTGAAAAATATGCAAGAAACGTAACAAAATTTAATAAGAGTAATTAGACATACCAGATTTAAACCAACTGCTCCACGACAAACATTTTCACTTTCTATATTTAGTATGGTGCATATATTTATTAACGCTTGTGTTAAATCTTCATCATTTGCGCCCTCTTTGACTAATTGAAATAAAGCAGAGAAAGCGCTTCTGCATAATAAACAATCTAGGCTCTGAAAAAAAAATAGAAGCTTGGTTTACATAAACAATAAAAATATCATTATATACACGTACCAATAGAACTTGAATTTTAATCATATTATATTATAATTTATCGAAAAATCAATTCATGGTTTTAACTTTTAACATCTGAAAATGATTTCAAGTATGTAGCCATCTCGGCTGTTCTTGACGATGTGCATATGTCCAGAATTTAGAATTATATTTTTAAAGGTTATCTTTAAAGTTGAAAAAGTTAAAGTTACAGCCTATGTACATCCCACTGCTGGTCACAGGCCTCCTCTCATTTCTGAGAGTGTTTAGGGCAAGGAAATGTCCACCGTGCTGCCGCAGTGCGTGTTGTCGAACATGAAGTTGATGTCTTCAAATATATTTTTTTCTTATTTCTCAGACATGCAGGCTTCCTCACGATGTTTTCCTTCACCGCCGAGTACTTATCGCACGCAAATCGCATACTTATATACGCACGTAATCATCACTTAAAATTGCAGTTAACACGGCTCTACTCTGAGGTTATCATTAATAATAATTAAATTAGCATCCGCATAAGCTCGCAACTTATTCGTTTCGGTCAAAAGTTTACTGTCATGTGGATAGTTAACAACTTATCTGTGTAAAAGTCTAAGCTGGTAATTACATCCAATGACTTCACTCTGCTGGGTCTAACATCTGTATTTAGAGTGATAGGTAGCTGTAACCGGAGCAATGGAAACACTCCCGTTACAGCTTACAGTCTTTAATCCTTGATCCTATCGTTAAATCGTAAAATAATACCGTCACTGATTCTTGGAGTTCGTCTTTTTCTAACTGGTCTCTACGAAGAGCGGGCCACTTAAAATCTTTGACTGGACTTATTACTAAAGTTTTGTAGTTTAATTTAGTAACTAAACCATCTGATATGGAAATATTTATCCTGAACATTATTCTGGAGCCTTGATCTAAATGAATATGCCATAATAGACCTCTGGGATTTTCTGGTTCGGCCGGAATCGCATTATCAAGAGGTGTACGCTCGTATGTTGCATATTCGCGGGATTCATCAACTACTCTTGCTGTGTACTGGCGACTTAAAAATATCCACTTTTCCATATCATTCCGACGGTGTCTCATGAGGCGACAGAGGGGAACAGAACCAGGATATGGACCGCAGCATATTCCTGATAACAACCGATAAAAACTGCGGTTGCCAACTCGACCGTTGCATGGCAAAATGTCCCTTTTGAAGTTTTGTAGTGGCAGGCCTATATTCAGCAGTGAACTCTTGATATGCTGTAATGTATGAATGAATCGACTGTAATCGATACATATTATGATGATTTACTGTACCGTACTCATTATATTCTCCGTTATCATTTGATTATTTATATCAATTTGCTTGAATGTAGGAAACATACTAACTACATGTTACTACATATTCTACATGTAAACGTTTGGAAAGCAAGTTGATAGATGTTAAGTTGACCGACGCGTAAAATCGATACTCTCTTTGCTCCTTAGTCTCATCTGTTCTCGAATTACAGGTATGCTCGCGCGAATAGGCATTGGATTGTGTGCTCGTTTGGTATGCTTACTTGTATAAAGTATACTTACCGATCGCACTTCCGACTGAAATTGTGTTTTCGAGGTCATGTATGTAGGTCTTCGAAGTATTTCAAAAATGTCTTCTTGTAATTTATACTCTGAAGGAGATAACTCTGCATTTCTTAAATATTTTTCGAACACCACTTCTAATTGATCTAGAATATACAAACAAAATATCATTTTAATTAAATGTCTTCAAGTTCCAGAATACGTACGAAGATATCTGGTGGCGAGGTCATCACCCCATCTCCTGTGTGTCGTTTTGGAGAAAGTCCATTATATTACAGCCCAGGAAGGCTATGCATAAAGCGCACATTTACTGCCCGCGCCATGCAATATGTAATACGGTATGCAAGAGGCACTGACTAGTCACACCACTCGTTTCTGGCTTTTTTTATAGGATAGGGTGACAAAGGAGCACACAGTCCACCTGATGGTAAGTAGTTGCTGTGACCCATACACATCTACATTTCTCTTCAATAAAGAATCAAAATGCAGATGCGTCGTCACACGTGAGGACTAAGATGAAATGCCTCTTTTCCGGTTTCTACACTCACCATACGAAACACAGCAGTGTCAAGCTGCCATCTTACGCTGGTATTCTGTGAGAGCGTAGTCCTTCCCCGGTCGAGCCGACCCATTCGTGCTACAACTATACTACTAATATAGCTGTAGCATGGCTCTACCACGTATAAAATGGCTTATTTACTCGGTAACTACTGGCTATCTTGCAAGCCATTGAGATTTGCATCGCAATTGGCATCAGTAACCGAAAAAAAGTAAACCCAGCGTGATAGTCGTAGACGCAGAAGTACAACTGGGTAACCTTGACCGTTGTTTTTAGCATTGTTCACAGAACTAATTAATTTTTGATTAATATTTTTTTATAAAAGTAAGGGTGACACGAGTACACATGCCACTATTAGGTAGGTGGAGGCTATAAAAAAGCCATTTTTCCTTGGATTTGATCTTTACTCATACCAATACATAAGTTTGCTCGAATCTGTTAGTAGTTTTATTCTCTTATCAGCTTATCTTACGCCGCACGAAACGGATGTCATCTTAAAGGTTTTTTCTATAACATATTGACACTTTAAATTACTACTCATTTGTAAAAAAAACAAATGACAAACGAATTTAATATACCTAGTCAGGTACTCAGTTTACCAATGAGCTCTACATTTTTAACCGACTTAAAAAAGTAGGAGGAAACTTAACTAGTCTGTAAATATTTATTATGTATGTACGGGCATAACTTCTTTGTTTATAAACCGATTTTAATGCTGTCCTTCCATTAAATATTTTATGTTCAGGGGTAATCCCAATGTTTTTTAAATAATTAAAAAAAAAACAATTTTAGAAAATAATTCACCTCTATGGGTGGAAAAATAGGGGTGAAGTTATTAATGTTAGTTCATACAAAAAGGTAAAAAAAAAACTTATAGAATTGAAACCCCAACTTCAGAAGCGCTATGCTTAAACTGACCATTTATTTTTTAACTCAAAACGGGACATGAATTTATTTATACACGCCAATTAGCAGGTTAACAATAAAAATAAACACAACTTTTTAATGTTATTTGTTTAGAAAAACTGTAACTTTATACAAGTAGTGTTCACTATAATTATATTAACATTAATTATAATTATTTTTATTATAACAAATTGTGAACAATAAAAATCAATCACCAGTTCACCAGCTTCAAAGCAAAGTTCCTTAGACAGTAATTATTAAATGCAACATTTTTTAAATTATATTTATACTTGTCAGTGGAACAAATTTGCTTTAATAAAGTTGGTGATTATTTTAAATAAGAATAAAATTCTGAGTATGTTTTTTTTTATATTGACCTTTGTTATCAACATCACCTTAAAACTGTAACCTGTAAGTGATTTTTCAGACGTCCACTATTTATTAATTATAGAAAATACTCCGTTTGTGTCTGACAAATTTGATAGTTTTAAATTTTCGTGCGGGTTCGGTAAACGGGACTATTTTGCGTCCCGGAGCTTTGTTTGGGAGTTGTGTATCGCTAGCAACGCAAAATCAGGAATTTGCATTTAGAAAAACCCAAAATTAGGGGCTTTTAGTTGCTAATTAGGTGCCAAGTTTAAAAATTAGGTGCTCAAAAAATTTGACCGCAACGGAGTGTTGAAATTTGCGTTGCTAGCAAAACGTCTCGCTAGTAACGCAGTGAAGTTATTAGATATACGATAAATATTAATAGCAAGGAATTAAGTGCTAATTAGGTGCTGTTGCTACGCAAGGGCGAAGGGGCTGCACTCCTCGCAGTGCCGAAGTCGTTGCAGAAGTAACTATGTCAATATACCTGCAACCCAAATTTCAACAGTTCGTTGCGGTGAAAATTTTAGAGCAACTAATTTTTAAAATTGGCACCTAATTAGCACCTAAAAAGTCCCTAATTTTGGATTTTTCCGAATCCAAATTCCCGACTTTACGTTGCTAGCGAGACACAACTTTGTTTGGGGACAACGGAACTGGTGACCGAGAAAAGGGACAGTCCTGTCCAAAACGGGACGTATGGTCACTTTAGCTATGCTTCCTTATATTTACGCGAACACTACACATTGAATAAAAATATTTTTACGGATTTTATCGCGTTTAATTTACTTGTTTTATATTCCCGACGTTTCGGTTACTTTCCAGCAACCGTGGTCACGGGGGACTGAGGTGATTGACGTCCCGATGTCAAAGTTAACCCGGAGTACCTTCAGCTTTTTAATTATTATTTTGGTCCGATCTACGCAGAATGAACTAACTGTGTCTTGAAGTCTTGCAGTGGTATGCTTGGGTTTAGTTTTAATTTTATGAATTACAGGATCCCAAGCAGCTGGTAGTACCCAGCCTCCCTCTCTATTGAAATTAGGATGTTTTTTAATTTCAATAGCCTCACGTATCATCCTTGGCAGGAATCGATGTTCTTTCGCGAGGACTTGTGGTTTATCAAATCTAATGTAATGGCGGGGGCCGTCTAGGATATGATCACAAACTGCAGACTTCCCGGAACGTTGGTGCTTCACGTCAGCTATGTGTTCTTTTACGCGGGTTTTTATTGATCGTTTTGTTTGCCCTATATATGAGAGACCACACTCACAATCAAGCTTGTATACTCCTGCATCTTGTAGAGGAATATTGCACTTGACGGATGGTAAGAACTGACTAATCTTCTTCGGCGGCTTGAAGAATGTTCTAATAGAAGCTCGCTTCAAGATGTAGCCAATCTTGTCTGTGACACCTCTGACATATGGTAGTACAGCAGGCACACGCTCGACTGTGGCCGGCTTCACTCGGTCACTGTGACGTAGGCGCGGAACCCGAAGCTTGTTGTCGTGCAGAACCTGTTTGACGTGCTGAAGCTCGGCGGCCAGGTGTTTGCTGTCACAGATCCCTCGTGCTCTCTGCAACAAAGATTTGCCCACGGTAGCTAACTGTGAAGGGTGATGGTGGGATTCACCGTTTAAGTATCGGTTTGTTTGTGTCTTTTTTCTATACACTCACTATTGGACGTAATGGAGCGTTCGGTTTGTGTATTTTTGGTAACCCATACAACTACGGCGGTTTGGCACACGTAGGTATTATCTATGTTGAAGACTGCATCTCAATTATAACTAGGAAACTAGAGGAAAACAACATGCCAGCAGAATATGCAGTATTACTCAGACACTGCCTTACATCTGGCTACCTATTGTGGAAGGAACAGTTTTACAAGCAAGTAGATGGTGTTGCGATGGGCTCACCGGTATCTCCCATTGTCGCCGATATTTTCATGGAGGACTTTGAGGAGAAAGCCCTGCTTACTGCACCAGTAACTCCAAGTTTCTACAAGCGGTATGTAGACGATACTTTCACAATTTTACCATCAGACAAAGTAACTGCATTTTTAGAACGTCTTAATTCCATAAACTCTAAAATTCAATTTACTATGGAGTTAGAGGCAAATAATTCTTTAGCTTTCATAGATGTGTTAGTCATTCGAAATCCTAATAACACCGTAGGTCACACTGTGTATAGAAAAAAGACCCATACAAACCGATACTTAAACGGTGAATCCCACCATCACCCTTCACAGTTAGCTACCGTGGGCAAATCTTTGTTGCAGAGAGCACGAGGGATCTGTGACAGCAAACACCTGGCCGCCGAGCTTCAGCACGTCAAACAGGTTCTGCACGACAACAAGCTTCGGGTTCCGCGCCTACGTCACAGTGACCGAGTGAAGCCGGCCACAGCCGAGCGTGTGCCTGCTGTACTACCATATGTCAGAGGTGTCACAGACAAGATTGGCTACATCTTGAAGCGAGCTTCTATTAGAACATTCTTCAAGCCGCCGAAGAAGATTAGTCAGTTCTTACCATCCGTCAAGTGCAATATTCCTCTACAAGATGCAGGAGTATACAAGCTTGATTGTGAGTGTGGTCTCTCATATATAGGGCAAACAAAACGATCAATAAAAACCCGCGTAAAAGAACACATAGCTGACGTGAAGCACCAACGTTCCGGGAAGTCTGCAGTTTGTGATCATATCCTAGACGGCCCCCGCCATTACATTAGATTTGATAAACCACAAGTCCTCGCGAAAGAACATCGATTCCTGCCAAGGATGATACGTGAGGCTATTGAAATTAAAAAACATCCTAATTTCAATAGAGAGGGAGGCTGGGTACTACCAGCTGCTTGGGATCCTGTAATTCATAAAATTAAAACTAAACCCAAGCATACCACTGCAAGACTTCAAGACACAGTTAGTTCATTCTGCGTAGATCGGACCAAAATAATAATTAAAAAGCTGAAGGTACTCCGGGTTAACTTTGACATCGGGACGTCAATCACCTCAGTCCCCCGTGACCACGGTTGCTGGAAAGTAACCGAAACGTCGGGAATATAAAACAAGTAAATTAAACGCGATAAAATCCGTAAAAATATTTTTATTCAATGTGTAGTGTTCGCGTAAATATAAGGAAGCATAGCTAAAGTGACCATACGTCCCGTTTTGGACAGGACTGTCCCTTTTCTCGGTCACCAGTCCCGTTGTCCCCAAACAAAGTTGTGTCTCGCTAGCAACGTAAAGTCGGGAATTTGGATTCGGAAAAATCCAAAATTAGGGACTTTTTAGGTGCTAATTAGGTGCCAATTTTA